GAGCAATTTAAAAAATTTAAAGTAAAAAGAGCTTTGTTAATTTGAGTGGCCAGGGAGCTGACTCCCCCTTCTTGTCTTTGTAATGGAACTTTCAAAGTTTGGTGAGCTCGTTCCATGATAGCTTGGCCTTGGGGATTGTAGGGTATGCCTGTGGTATGGAGAATTTTGTAGGAGGGACAAAAAGCCTTGAAGGCAGTAGATGTATAGTCTGAGCCATTATCAGTTTTAATATGGAGTGGCTTGCCTGTCACAGCAAAGGTGGCTAAACAGTGATCTATGACATGGCGTGTTGCTTCTCCTGATCTTGGAGAGGCAAAAACAAAACCAGAGTAAGTATCAATGACAGCATGGACATAACACTGTCGTCCAAAAGATGGAGTGTGAGTAACAGCCATCTGCCACAAGGGTAGAGGATGAAGACCACGAGGGTTTAACTCCCTCACTGGGCACAGGCAAATGAGGAGCACATTCTGAACAGGACTTAATCTGACGAGCTTGTTCTCAGGTGATATGAAAATGTTTACAAAGAGCTCTGGAGTTTTAGTGGAACTGAGAATGACTTTGTATGGCCTGGTTTACTGGTGATGAGGAATCCACCTGTAAAATGAATGGAGAAACCAAGGCATTGGCCTGGCAATTGCCCTCTGCCAATGGCCCAGGAAACCCAGAGTGGGACCGGAGATGGCCACAAAATGGGGATGTTGGTATTGCTGTACTAAAGCCCTTACTCACGGAAGAGATGAAAAAGCTGTTCATCATTAGCAGGTCCTATATAAGCAGTTTTGATAGTCTTAAGTACACCATAAACATATGCACTATTTGTAAAAGGAACATAGACAAAATCCTGACAAGCCAATATAACTGCCTGAAGCTCAGAACATTGAGCAGTGGGAAAACCTGTTTGTACAACCTTTCATCCTTGAGAGGAAAAGTAAGCAGCGTTTCCAGAACCTGACGCATCAGTAAAAATCACAAGGGCCTGAGTCATGGGATCCTCTCGGCTATTGTGAGGAAATATAAAAGCATGTTGAGATGCAAAATTAAGACATTTAGAGGAAAGCAAATGTTCTCCAAGCTGTCCTGTAAAGTTTTCCAGTGCATTTTGCCACATGGTATCAGTACGCCATAACCAAGCCTGTTGTTCCTTGGTAAATGGGACAATAATAAGGGATGGTTCTAGTCCTAGCAGTTGTACAGTGCGAAAACGTCCCATGGCTATTAATTTTGCTACCATATTATGGTAAGGAGTGATGACTGTAGCAGGGGAGTGAGGTAAATGTAACCACTCTAGTACTCCCTGAGTCTGCCAAAGAACTCCTGTGGGTAGACTTGTAGTAGGTAAAATAAGAAGTTGTAATGGTTGAGAATAATCAACATGAGTTCTCTGAGAGTCATGAATAGCTTGTTCAACCTTAGCCAGGGCCATACGACCTTCTAGTGTAAGATATCTAGGAGAAGATGGTTGAGTGTCTCCCTGTAAAATTTTAAAGAGAGGAGACAGTTCACAGGTAGTAAGTTTTAAGGCAGGATGTAGCCAATTTATATCACCTAATAATTTTTGAAAATCATTTAAAAATTTTAAATTATCTTTATGGATTTCTATTTTTGGAGGACAGATAGTCCCTCAATAAGCTGTCCCAAATATGAAAAGGGAGATTGTTTTTGTACCTTCTCTGGAGCTACAATAAGGCCCATTTGGCCAAATTATAAGCAACAAAAGAAGTTTAGAAAAAGTGGGCTTACCTGACATCCATTTTTAGTTCTGTCTGGACTATAGATGATATCCTGACAACTTAAAAATGCTGCATAATGTCAACAGACAACAGACAGTTAAAGGTTTTGAAAAAAGCCAACAATATTTAGAAGGCTGAACTCAATTGAAAATAGGTATTGGGTAATTGTAAATGCTCTGAAGAAGGACCCAGACTAAGAATGAAAAGACTTAGGAAGTCATGGTTAAAATACTGAAAAGTAGTTTGGGAACTGTCAGAACATTTAGTTATTTACATTGTAGACCGCATTTTTAGGAGAATAATTATGACTGATAGTATTAAAACAGCAGCACTAATGCTCCTTGTTACAGTTAGGAACACGTGGCCACAAGCTTGTAAAAGTCTAGCATTGTTAACAGTAGATCTCTTTAAGTTAGGGGGCCAATGCCTGTGATCCCAAATAGCCTTATTTTTTAATGTACAATTACATTCTATACATATACAGTAACACTTATTTGACTAAAACTAATATAGGCCAGGTTTTAGGTAGCAGGATTGCTCAAATGGCAAGGTTTTTCTGAATGTTACTGATTATAAACAGCACACCTGCCAAAAGTTTCATTAAGCATTTTATATGTCAAAGGTTTAGATATAACGCTTTTGGGTAAACAACTTTAGCTGGTCAGTTAAATGTAACACTTTTGGATAAAAGAGAGCTTTAGCTCATCATTTTACATAAACTGACACCTTTAACTTTGCAAGCATTTGTACCATATTTAGATAAAGTATAGACGCAGAACACAGTTATAAGGTGGTCGTTTAAGACACATGAGCTTTGATTTAGTAGTACTAAAGCTTGACAAGATCAACAGAAAGCACAAGTAATTACTTTGATAAAATCTATCCAAATAATAGTTTTTTGGAGATGTTACTCAAAGCAGAATAATATTAAGATAGCCTTGTTATTTTATGGACATGGATAATTAGATTTTAGTTTGACATGACCCTAAAAAAAATTCTTTTAGGCAACTCTTAGATTATAGTCAACTTTATCATGCACCGAAGCTTTTTATTATACACTTTTAAAACTTACTCAGACCTTCATAGAACATTCTAAACCCTCTGATGGTTTGTCCTTATCTCTCCTCTCCATTTTTGAAACAATCTTTAGGACAAACCCTTCTTTACAAAATCCTTTCTCATATAAAAATATTCCTTTTTCCTTTAACTTTTTCCCAAAAATACACTCAATACCTATCTATTTATGCTTATTCACTTTGTAACTTGTATTTTAAAATAACTTTTATAAGAATTTTAATTTTAAATAAAATTGTTTTTTCAATCAGCTTTATTTAAAGACATCTTTTGTTAATAGATCTAATTATAAAAGAATTGAATGTAAATTACACCTATGACAAAATGAAACAGATTAAGGTTGCTGTCCATAAAATAATGCCTGTAATTTAGTTAGACCTGTTTGTGACATAGTCTTTAAAAAACTGGTTTTTTTTTTTGTTGTTTTGTTTTGTTTTTTGTAGCAGCAGAAGAAGTAGGGGAGAGAGGAGAACAGAAGTTATTGTACTTCTTTACAAAATTTTATAAAAAATCCTACTAAAGATACCTTAAAAGCAACTGAAGCCAATAGGAAAAGGGGACCAGGAACTAGAGAAAAGGTTAGATCAAAAAGAATTACCTAGAAGGTAACACACACGCACAGGAAATTAATGTGAGTCAATGCCCTGTATAGCTATCCTTATCTCAACCAGCAAAAACCCTTGGTCCTTCCTATTATTGCTTATATTCTCTCTTCAACAAAATTAGAAATAAGAGCAAAATAGTTTCTGCCAGGTATCGAGGGGGTGGGGAGGAGAGGGTGGGGGCGGAGTGGGTGGTAAGGGAGGAGGTGGGGGCAGGGGGTAGAAATGACCCAAGCCTTGTATGCACATATGAATAATAAAACAATTAAAAAAAATCTTACTAAAGATGTTTAAATATATGCATATGTAAAAAAGGTTTTAAATTAGGTATGCCATAAATGTCAATTTAAGCATGCATAGATTCAAGAACTCAAAAATATTTGAAAATTAACTAAGTGGCCACCGTACATTGATAAGGTTTTTTAAAAAATTTTTTTAGGAGCAGATTGAGAAGTGTCCCATTATGTTCTTTTAGGATTTTTTTAACAGCTGAGGCAAGAGTCAATTTTAGGAACGGTGTTTTGAGTCAGTCTCAGTTTTTAGTAAGACTGTTGCTGTAGCTATCGGTTTTTTGTCTCTAATAAGTTAATCATACAATAGACATACACAAAATTCACACAATGAAACACAAAACAATTACATTAATTTCGAGTGTACTCTTAGACATCGAAGACATTAAATTTACCTTTAGTTTTAAACATACGTACATAGCGATCTCTTTCTTTAGATCTAGTTTGTCCCATATTTATTCCTCCCGACTATATTCAGAATTGCGCTCTCCCCTTACCTTATTTTCCTTGCAGATGCGTCCTTCGGAGAGCACTGTCCAATGAGTTCTCCTGTAGTCAGGCCCCAAGAATGGGTGCCACTTGCCCGCAACCTGCATGGGCATGCTGTGTGAACCTAAGAGCTGTGGGGAATGAGAAAAAATAACACACAGACATACAGAGGTACAACAGAAAAGCTGGGGACGGGAGGGCTGCACGTTCCTGGTGGGAACCTGCCTGAGCCAGTGTTTATTTTATAGGTCAGTACAAGGAACAGACTCAGATAAAAATCAGGCTTTAACAATTCTTGATGCAAGGTGAAAGGAATGAGCTTTGGTGGGCTAATTTTCCTAAGGCAAATGAAGCTTAATTACAACACATCAGTTCTGGAGTCATCAAGGCACACAGGACACCTTATCTAAGGTATTGATTAATCTGGCATCAGGGAGTCTCCTAACAGTTCTGGTGCTTTATCTGGTTTTGCACTGGGGGCTGGTATTTGGACACAGCAGGTTGTGTTCTTCAAGGAGATGGGAGAACAAAGGTCAAGACACCAGGTACTGGGGAAATTATGGTAGGAGAGGCTGTGCAAACTTCTACATGGAGAGGCTGTGCAACTCCATTACATCCAAGCCCAGGGTTCATGCCTGGTCCCCAACATCCTGACAGTCAGCTTTGAACTCCTGGGCTCAGCCCCTTCCAGCTCTGATCTTGGATGTGTCCAGGGCTGACAGGCACACTTGGCTCATGTCACCTCAGGACAGGTAGCTGTCCTCAGACTGCAGTCCTCTCAGCCTCACAATGACTTCATTTTTCCATCCCAGAGCAGGAAGAGAGGAACCGGGAGACAGTGAAGCAGTGGCGACAGTGGCACTATGACAGGCTGTATCCTTCCTATCTCTACAACCACCACCACATCTGACCTCACCCTGAAGCAACCCAGGAAGACCGAGCATGCAGCACCGCCAGCACCCCGCGGGCCACAGTTTTTCTCCATACAAATGAGCCCTTCCTGGGCCTCAGCTTAGAGTCTGCTGTGGCCAACGGCACTAGTGTAACTGGCTAACAGGCCCGGTGGCTTCAGGTGTCCCACACTTAAGCCACTGTCCCCAAAGTAGTACTCTTGTCTGATAGGCCAATTAAAAGAATCACAGCAATGAGAAAAGATTTTATGTTTGCTTATAGCTTAAAAATAAAAATGCTGAATTGACACCATGTGTTATTTTCTCAAATCTCCAAGGGAGCCATGTGTCCAGTTGTCTCCCCGAGTGACAATGTTAATCTTGCCAGCTTGGCCTTCAGGATTGTCACTCATTCTTCTCAGCATGTCGCAGGAGTTAGTCACATGAATGAAAAGCATGCTGATGCAATTGCTTCAGAAAAACCACTTAAGAGGCTCACAGAGCCTGGGGACCTCCTTCTTTTTGTCTCTGACGAGTCTTAGGGTTCTCTGTGATTTCTTGACTGTACTCTTCAGAAGCCGGGGTCACACAAGGCCACTTGTGTAAACAAAATGAGAAAATCTCACTTCTCTTCATAGAGCCTGTATGCATTTTCTGGCTGCCATAACAAAATACCACAATTGGCGACTTAAAAACATGGGATTTCGGGGCGCTGGTGGCTCACACCTGTAATCCTAGCTAGGCAGAGATCAGGTGGATCATGGTTTGAAATAGTTCGTGAGACCCTATCTTGAAAATACTCATCACAAAAAGGGCTGGCAGAGTGGCTTAAGGTGAAGTCCCAGTACTGCAAAAAAAAAAAAAAAAAAAAAAAGGGAATTTATTCTCTGACAGGTCTGGAGGCGAGAAGTGTGAAACGGAGGTGTTGGCCGGGCTGTGCTCCCTCCAGATGCTCCAGGGGAGGGTCTTTTCTTCCTCTTCAGCTTTAGAGAGCTCCAGGCATTGCTCAGCCGGTGGCAGCTGCACTCCACTCCCAGCCTCCGGATTTGCAAGGCCTCCTCCGTGTGTCTCCATCTTCCCTCTTGCGTCTTTGTGTCTTTTCTCTTCTCCTAAGAACACCAGCCATATTGAATTAAGGCCGCACGCTGAGACTATTTCCAAATAAGGTCACCCTCACAGGTACTGGGGGTTAGGATTTCAGTGTGTCTTTTGGGGACACACAATTCTACTCTCTTTCCTTCCAACCATTCTGGCTTCTGGCCCCAAACTCACCACCTACCCTGCCTCAACCCTGCCACTCAGTTGACATCAAGAATTCCACATAAGAATGCAGAAAAATCAAGAACAATTTAAGTAAGCCCATGGGGAGAGGGCATCACAGGACTTTAGAATGCAGAATTCCCTAGATGAAGAACAAGCATTCACTCTGACATCTTCCTGTCCCAGCCAGGGGTCAGTAAGCCTGGGCTTCTCTCATGCCTGGAGACCCTGGGACTTCCAGGACAGTAGGGAGCAACTCTGAGTAGGAGTTGCTTTCAGGAACATTTACCTCAACTGTGGTAAAATACGTCCCCAAAAGTGGGGTGATTACTTAGGTGAGGACACTGCAATGGGTTTGTATGTTAAGTAATTTTTTAAAAAGCTGATAAGTCTTTAAAAGCACTCTGGTGATGTAAGTGACGATGCATACCCCAAGTCAGCCCAGAACAGGAGCTGACCTCGCCTTGGGAAGTTGGGATGGGCACTGGGCATTAGTTACCATTAATTTTTCAAAATTAATTACCATTCATTTTTTTGGTTGGTTGGTTGGTTGGTTTTGGTGCTGGAGCGTGAACCCAGGGTCTCATCCATTGAAATGTGTGCTTTCCCATTGAGCTACACCCCAAGCCCTACCATCAAATGCTGTTCCCCAGGCAGGCAGAACAGAAGGGTCATTATCTTCTCTGTGCCAGGAACTCTGGGTTTCTAATAACTTGGAACTCAGGCCGGGTTACAAGTCAAGATCATCACATCAGAGTCAAAGCAGAGCCAGTTTCCAGTGGCACAATGCACTTCTGTTACATGGTGCCAGGGGCTTCCGTGGCTATAGGGCCACCTACTTCTCTACTTCTCTTTTCCTGTAAATAAGGAGAATATTTTGGGAAGGGCCCCTTTGCTAGAAGCTTCCTTAGGGTGGTCTTGGTGTAAGTTGGCCTAGCTCCTGCATACTTCTCTGTGGAGTAACAGTTGCTCAGAGAATTATCTGTTCTCTTAAGTTTTCCCTCAACTAGCTCCATATTCATACTACCCGGCACGTGTGTGTGTGTGTGTGTGTGTGTGTGTGTGTGTGTGTGTAGGGAGGGGGCGGGAGCCCCCATTGCTTGCTGTTGAGTATGCTGGAGTTTACTCACCCATCCCTTCTTTAGTAAGATAGATGAAGTGTGAGTTACGACGTTTACTCATTTTAAGCTTATATCAGATTTCTCTTTGAAGTGGTTAAGTGCTTACTACTCTCACTGGACAGCTTTGCCAGTCATTTTTTATTATTGTTCTTTTGAGACAAATTCTTCCTATGTAGCCTCAAAGTCATGCTCCTCCTGCTTCAGAGCTGGGATTATAGGCATACACCACCACACCTGTCTTGCCTATCCTTTCTTTTCTTTTGTTTTTCTTTTTGTGGTGGTACTGGGGTTTGAACTCAGGGCTTTGTATTTGCAAGGCAGGCATTCTACCATTTGAGCAACTCCTTGAGCCTCATCCTTCCTTAAAGCAAGCAAATTGAGCACAGTTGTAGGAAAGTCTGGGTGGGGGAGGCCTTACATATATACTTACTTATGGTGTCTCCTCACACAGTAAATCTCACCTTTACGTCTATGAGACTTAACCACATCAGACCTAACCAAGTTACTAGTGCACACCACCCAAATGCCTTGGGACCTGAGGAGGCCATTGAGGATCCCACTCGCTGTATTGAGGATTTGGAGTGTCCCCCAAAGGCTCCTGTGTTAAGGGAGTGGTCCTCAATTTGGTGCTGCTGGATGGTGGTGAAACTTTAAGAAGTGGATCTATAAGGAGAAAATAAAATATAGAGCATAGTTCTCAAGAAAATAAAAATAAGTGCAGACTCCTATTATAATTGGAGTATACTTATTCCAAAATAAAGGTAGATAGCAGAAATTCACAAAATATATGCAGTAATCCAGAGAACCTTAATTTGGAAAGAACATCAGTGGTCATCTAGTCCCATTCTTCATCAAATGCAGAAATACTTTTCCATTATCTGAGAATAAAACTCAATAAATACAGTGGTAACTAACTCACTGCCCATCACCAATGAGGGCTATTTTCAAGATGCTGTAATTATTAAAAAAGTTACTCATTTAAGCCTACTAAAATCTGTTCCACGTTATTTCAGCCAGGGTTCTTTTCCTTGGAAAAGAAGACGTCTATGTTGCCCTAGACTCTCATGGTGAATCTTTATGGATTCTGGTTAAGTCTCTGACTCCCTACAGTTTGCCAAGCCCCAACAGCCTTCTCACTGTACACGTGTTCAAATATTATTGATCTGTGGTCAGTTGAATCTATGGATGCAAAACCTGTCATACCAAGGGCCAACTGTTCTTTTATGACATGCAATAGAAAAAAGGCAAAGCATTGCTCTCTCTCCTCAGCTGGAAAGCAAGAGAAGCCAGTCCTGGTCTTGCCAGGAAAGGCAGCGCACCTTTGTGCCCTCTGGAGGATGGCCAAGAGTCCCTTGGGCTAGGGAACAGGTGGATGGCAGCAGATGGAGTCTGATTCAGAGCTACACCACACGGCCACCTGCCTGTTGTACCTGCAGGGAGGAATGCTGGGGCCACACAGATGTTAAAACCTGAGAATGGCTTGGGAGAGTGGCCAGTTTAAAAAAAAAAAACCCCAAAATCTCAATAGGCCCAGTTGGCATGTTGGCTCTAGATAAAGAATTCTGGCAGAAAGGGGCTGAATGCTTCTTCTACCTTGTTCACCCCATCCTTTACAAGGGCTCCATTATAGTTCAGGGTTTTCAAAGTCAGCTTAGAATTCCTGCACTGGACGCCATTTCCTTGGCAGGGGGAAGGAAGCCAAAGGTAACACGGCCAGGAATCTATGCAGTCGCACTTAATAGGAAATTAGTACCAGAGCAATTTGTATTTCTGGAGACTGGCCTTGTTCAGTGTGGCCTGTGACATATCCTTTTGCTTTCTCTTCTTTGTTCATTACTTTCCCCTTGCTCTTAAGGGGTTCCAGGTAAGTAGCTGAAGACAAATTTGTCAAAGAGTACATTTGTCATTCGTTTTTATTCACTAGTTTTACATATACTGGTATTTAAATTTTTTCTTTCATTTTTTGCAGTACTGGGGATTGAACTTAGGGTTTTGTAAGTGTTCTACCACTTAAGCCATACCCTCAGCCCTGCATTTTTCTTAAACATTTTTTTTTGGGGGGGTAGGAGTATAGCTCAGTGATAGAGCACCTGCTTAGCTTGTTCAAGGGCCTAGGTCCAATCTCCACCACCGAAAAACAAAACAAAACTTTTGTGCATGCTCCAGGTGAGACATTACAACTTGTTATATGCCTTTACTTTTTTTTTTTTTGGAAGGAGGTGGTAATTTTCTGAGTCCCAGAATGACTTTTACATTTTTTGGAAATTTGTGCTTTTTATCAGTTTCATTTACTTGGGTTATTTTATCTCTAATTTTTTTATTTTTTTTTTTTGAGACAGGGTTTCACTATGTAGGTCAGGCTGTCCGAAAACTTGTGATCTTCCTGTCAGCCTTCCAAGAGCTGGATTTACATGCATGCTGGGCTTAAATTTTAATGACCAGATATTACTTTTATGCATTAAATCAATTTGTGACCACAGTTAAAAAAAAACTGTGTAATTTATTATTAAGCAGTCTTATAAAGCTTCTTACAGGAATGCCAGTATTTTTTTGGAGATGGTGATGGTATCTGTGAAGAACTGATTTAGTAATAAAATGAACAGTATTTTTTTAGGTAGTTTCTCACTAATTTAGACACCCTATTAACACTTTCGGGTCTCAAAGAATACACTAATGAGCCTGAATTATTCAGTGTATACAGCTTTTAAAACTCCCCCCCCCCAAAAAAATGACAATCCCATTACCAGCAGGCAGAGGTCAGCAACACTAGTTTGTGTCTTACTAACTCTCAGTCAGTTGTTTATCATGCATGCAGCACATTGTATCTTAATAAAACTCAAGAGAAAGTTGATTTTCTTCAAGTGTATTACAAAGATCCTAAATTCAGATCAACCAATCCTCCAAGAAGGACGTGGCCAGCATTTACCTTAGATCACCTGGGACTTACTCACCCGACTGCCAGCTCTGACGCAATACATTACCAATAACAGACTAAGAAAAAAAATAGCAGGGCTCTGGTGGCTCACACCTGTAATCCTAGCTACTCAGGAGGCAGAGATCAGGAGGACTGGGGTTTGAATCCAGCTCAGGGAAATAGTGCCCAACACACTATCTTGAAAATACTCAGCACAAAAAAGGGCTGGTGGAGTGACTCAAGTGGCAGAGAGCCTGCCTAGCAAACGTAAGGCCCTGAGTTCAAACCCTAGTACCGCCAAAAAAAAAAAGTGAAACACGTTTGATTTGTATGAAAGCATTTAATACACCTTGACAAAAAGGATTAAAAGGTAGGATTAAAGACTGATCTCCCTGATGGATAAGTTCTCCCCACTCTACCATCCCCCCCTTCTCATTCCTGAACATTCTAAGAATGCACACATACAAAGCACCTCACATGAAATCTCACCAAGACTCAGTGAACTAAGAAGTGACTCAATATTTTTAAAGTTATTAAAAACAGTGTCCTCTGTTCAAGCGAGAATGTGCTTTTCACGTAGGAGGATCACTTAATGGAAGAACAACTTGCTCAAGCTCTAAGTAGCTATAACTTCCTTCATATGCATTGTTCTGTTTTATGTTTATGAGACAAGTGAAGCCACTCTAAGTGAGCCATTAAAAATCTCAGCTTTGGCCTGGGGGCATGACTCAAGTGGTAGAACACCTGCCTAGCAAATACAAGGTCACAAGTTCAAATCCCAGTACAGTACCCCACCCCAAAAGTTTCAAGTGCTTTTTGATTCTTATTAATAATTAAACTATTTTTACTTTGTTAGTCAAATTAAACAACTCCCAAAGCCTTCTGGGAAGTGAAATGTTCCTAGAAGCCTGGTGACCAGGACATAACCTTTGGAAACACAGGGTCAGATACAGCACCTTCTACCCAGGGAGCAGGAACAGAGTTGGATGAGATCTAAGCCATGTGAATTTCATTCCAGGCTCCTGAAAACCCAAATCCACCATCTCTCATAAGTACCTCTTATACACACCAAGTTCCTAACATGACATCATCCTGAAGGAAACCTGCGTACGGCTAGAGCTCAAATCCTGATGCAATAATCCTACCAAGCCATCCAGCCTTTAGGTGGTTCCAATGTTTTCTGGGTCAAATGACACTTGGAAAGTCAGGTTGTTCCAGCAGAGAAGACCCCCACATTTTTGCTTTGTCATTGACACAGGGTTTGACCTTTAAAATTCTTGATGTGTATGAAGCACATCTGCAACCCCCAAACTCCATGGGGTTCTGCCTTTTGTTTTTGTTTTCTACTCCTGCTTTAGATATGTATTTGCTTTGATTAGAGGTGTCAAAGTTTCTTGAAGCCACACTTAAAATAATCCATACTTTAAAATACTGGGATTTTAGGTATTTTCACCTCAGAGCTCCATAATAATGTAAGAACAGAGCTTTCATTCTCTTACATGTATTAGCGATGAACTGAAATGCAAAGTGGTTGAGTGGCTTGATTTCAAAGAGCAAAACAGAAGTAACTGTAGAACAGAAAGAAGGAACATACATTTTAATGTCAGCACACCAAGACTGTATTAAGGGCAATGATCGGTGGCAGAGTATGGTGACCCATGCCTGTAACTCCAGCTACCTAAGAGGCAGAGATAGGAGGATCATGATCAAGGTTGGCTCAGGTAAAAAGTTTCTACAATTGTAATTCAGCTATATGGGAGGATGGAGATAGGAGGATTGTGGCCCAAGGCCAGCCCCAGGTAAAAACACAAGACCCTACTTAAAAAATAACTAATACAGAAAAGGGCCAGGTGCGTGGCTCAAGTAGTAGAGTGTCTGTCTAGCAACACCCTTGAGTCAAGTACGGTACATAAAAAGGGACAATGATCATCACTGAGTAGATGGGAAAGGGTGTTTATGTAGAGTTGGGGCTGGAAGACACATTCCAAGATCATTCGGTCCAGTCTTCCTTATTTTACCCAGGACGAAATGAAGTTCAGAAGGTTAGCAACCTAACTAGGGTGACAATTGTCTCTTTTCCTCTGGGTGGCCACATAGCCACCACAACGTTACTGTCATAAAGAAGTGCACCCTCTGTAACCAAGAGACCAGAAGTGTGGCTCTCAGTCCACTTCCCAGTTTGGGGACAAAAATCTGTGTGACTGCATCACATCAGTGCAGTTGTCTGTAGTGAGTATAGGAGAGATCATGACATCTTGACTTTCCACTTCAACGTCAGTGTTAAATGTGTGTGGAAGCTTCTGGGCTGATCAGCACTGGTTTCTGAGGGCATCAATCAGAAGCACAGGTAACACCAACCACTCCCCTACATTTCCAGAACCCTGAGAGGAAAGGCAGGAAGGGGAAATGTCTGGAGGGAGGGCTACTTTAGGCTGTTCAGAAATTTGGCATGTTCTTCTCCTCTTGGCAACAGTGTTTCTCCTCCTATCTTCGGACCAGTCTTCTCCTAGAAAAGTAAGAGTACTTAATGAGAGATGGTATAACAAAATTATTTGCCTGGGTCACTAAAATTAGTCACAAATTAGTATTCAAATGGCATATTGCTGTAGTTTGGATCTGGAATGTCCCCCAGAAGGCCCATGTGGTACAGGCATGGAGCCCAGCTTGGTGCTATTGGGAGGTGGTGGAACATTTAAAGAGGTGGGACTTGGTGGGACCTCTTAGGTCACTGGGGGTATGCCCTTGAAGGGAACTGCAGGACTCTTTCTCTTTTTTGTTCCTAGCCATGAGATAAAGGGCCTTCTCTACCACATGTTCCCACCATGATGTCTGCCTTGCCACAGGCCCAAAAGCAGTGGGGTCAACTGAAACCTTTAAAACTGTAAGCCAAAGTAAATCTTTCCTCTTCATGATGACTTATTTCAGGTACTTTGTTACAGTAACAGAAAGCTGAGGAACACACATACCTTTAGCATTCCATCTCGTTCCCATTTATAGAGGCCACAGTTACTGAAATAGAAAAGATGGGTTTGCTCAGCGGTGAGGTGTTGGCCCACACAGATAAAGACAACAGGACTTACTGCACCTTTAGAGGGAAGAGTGTCTGCACATTCAAGGAGGCATTATTCAAGGTGACCTTGATGTCACTGGCCTAATCAGCTTATACGCTAATGCTGCTAAGAATAGCACTGTGAGGAGTTGGGAAACGGCCTTTAGCTCAGATGATGGCACACAGGGCTACACACGCCGCAGGGGACTAACTCAACCTTGGTTTTCATTGATGGTTGTTGGGATGAGGCTCTGTCCAGACCAAGAATTGACAAGAGAAAGGCCGGGGAAAGCTCTGCTGTTACAAAAGTGTAAGTACAACAAGGAGACGTTCTTCCATCCGTGAGCTGTCCTCACCGAGTATCCTTTATGAAACAGAATGCCTCTGATGTCCATAATGTTTTGCTCTTTTAACATTTCAGTCATTTACTTTGCAGATACTTTGCAGAGGGTCAAGTATCAATATCAAATACCTACTTAAAACAATCATCTAGGCCATAAAAAAATTCCCATAAAAATTCCTGAGGAAGTGGGGAACCAGCGTGAGTTCTGGGCTCCCTCCCCCACACCAGCTCTGCAGAAATTTTTTTTTTTTTTTTTGCATTACTGGGGTTTGAACTCAGGGCCTACACCTTGAGCCACACCACCATTGTGATGAAGGTTTTCAAGATAGGGTCTCAAAAACTACCCAGGCTGGCTTTGAACAATAGTCCTCCTGATCTCTGCCTCCGAGTAGATAGAATAACAGGTGTGAGTTAGCCCTGGAGAACTTGAGGTGTGGGTGAAGCATGATTCCAGGAAATAAACAGCTAACAATGAGAAGTAAGCCAAAGGTAGTGAAAACAGCCTGATGAGAAACTGTTGGAAAGACTGAAAGCAATCTTGAAATTACCTCAAACCCCAAGGGATCAATATCATGCAAATTAAGTTCTTTGAAAAAATTCATCTGGGTGCAGTGGCTCATGTCTGCAATCCCAGCTACTTGGGAAGCAGAGATTGGGAGGATCATGGTTTGAGGCCAGCCCAGGGAAAACTGTTAGCGATACCCCATTTCAATCAATAAACTGGGAGTGGTGGCATGTCTGTGATCCCAGCTGTGCAGGAGGCTGTAGGTAGGAGGATCATGGTCTGAGGCTGGCTCCAGGCAAAAACGTCAGACTCTACATAAAAAATAACTAAAGTAAAAAATGACTGGGTGGGTCCGGCTCAAGTGGTAGAGTGGTAGAGCACCCCAAGTTCAAATACCAGTACTGAAAAAAAAAAAAACCAATTCCAAAGTCTGGGTGTGGTAGTGAATACCACCTCAGGGAATAATCCAGTAAGATTAACAGCAACAATACTAACCCAGGGCTGAGTGTGAAGCTCAGCGGCAGAGCTTGATCCACAGCACTGACAACAAAAGCAAGAAAGAACGAACAGAAGCACAAAGGACAGGACACACTTGACTACGTGTCAGCCTTGGTGAAGACCACTGAAGCAGGACCATGCAGACAGAGGGAAAGACTTAACTGTAAAGACATGTGAGACGTGAGAAAGATGAAAAACTAGTAAGCTGAACTTAAACATTTAAATTAACTGAAGAACATGTCAAAAAGTACCACAAAAACAACCCAAAGAAACAAGAAGGCAGAAGTTATTAAGGGGAGAAATCAAGAAAACAAAGAAATTCAATAAAGATGAAGACAGAGACTCTGTCAAGGTTAATCTGAAAAAAAGAGGAGAAAAACAAAAAAAGTTCTACGTAACAAGCAATTTGAAAAAACAATAAATAACAGACTGAAAAACTATTAAGTTATTAAGTATATTAAGAATGTATCAATAAACTTGAATGCATAATTTTCTTAAGCAGATATAAAAGTATTGAAGAGGAAGATAGCCTTGAAACAGGTTTGTAAAACATGGTAAACTGTCAATTAAAAGCTGTAATCTCGGACAGAGCTGTGAGGAATTGCCCATTAGAGTCATGCAAAAGTTTGGGACCAAGATGAAACGCACCATACAGAGATAAGCACCCATTCCTGCCTTCCTTTGTCTCCCCTTGTAAATAAACTTTCCAAAGCAGGCCTCCCCCCCACCCCCCTGCTCTTATCTAAACCTTAGGTCTCTAACCCACTACTAGCCCTACTTTATGGGAGAGCACATTCCTTGTAACCTGATACCCTGCGCTGCCTTTTAAATATCCTGTGAATCCTTTGTTCGGGGCTCAGACACTGGTACACGTCTGGGCCTGCTAGCCTAAAAATTAAAATCTGAGTTCTCCACTCCTCCGAGTGTTGCTTGGTTTCTCCTCTGACTATATTGCCACAACAGTATAAAATGCTAAAACTGGCAGAAGAAAATAGACCATGAAGCCACAATGTACCCCCCCACCCAGGACAACAATAAAAATAAAAATAAAAAAATAAATAAATAAGAAAAGAAGACAGACCATGAAAAGACCTTAAGTATCAAAGGAATTGAAATAAGAACCAAAGTCTCCTCTTCCCCTCCCCCAAAACCAAGCCCTAATTAATTTTTAGTGGGATTGATTACAGTTTTAATTGCTATTTAATACAAATTGTTTCTAGAAGCTGTCAAGTTCATTTTATAGGGTTCACACAATTCTGGTTGAAAATAAGACAAAAACTATATAAAAAAGGAAAACAATCAATGGATTTAATTCACTCATGTATATAAATACAAAAATTCTATATAAAATATTAACTAAATGAATTTAAAGGTCCACTAAAATGAAAAATATCAAGATAAGTAGGGTTTACCTAAGGATAGGAAGAAAGTTTAATTTCAGAAAAATCTACTTATTTATTTACTTATTGATGACTGAGGTGCTAGGGATTGAACTCAGGATCTCCAGCATGCTGGTCAAATCGGTTACACCCCATCTGCTCATTTCAGAAAAACGTAATGATGTGAAGCACCACATTAATAAACGAAAGTTAATAAAATCACAAAAGAGCAATGGCATTCAATACCTATTTGTGATAAAGTCTTGTGACTGAGAACAGAAAAGGACTTTCACTTGGCAAAGGCTGTATCTATAGGAGAAATTTGGATACATCCACTTTAGGATAAAGGGCAAGAAATGAGTCTACTGTTATCCGTCTCTAGAAACCCTGGAACGCTAGGGTCACAGCCCAGTGCTGGCTTGGCACCGGTCCCACTGGAGTCAGGTGACAAGCCAGACTGAGGAGAAGACAAGCTCAAGGAAGAAGGAGGACATGCTAGTGACACCCCATCGTTTTTATATCTAGTGTCTGACATTCAATAAATGCAACCCTCCCATAGATTCCAATTGGAATTTAAAAAAGGAATTTAATAAACTTACTATAAATTCATAGGATACAAAAGCTTAGTCAATCTTGTAAAAGAACGAAAAGGGGCAGGGGAATCTTTGCCTAATGGTTAAGACATCACACAAACCCAAGTGGTAAAGACAGTGGAACAGGCTCCAGAAACAAGGGCACTGAAAAGAGAATCAAGCTCTCAGACACAGACCTGTGTTTAAGTGGAAACTACTGAGGGGTGGCCTGCAGCGTGTGTGTGTGTGTGTGTGTGTGTGTGTGTGTGTGTGTGTGTGTGTGTGTGTGTGTGTGTGTGTGTGTCTAACCGAAGACACAACTATGAAAAGTAAACTGTGATGTGAAGAGAAAATAATGTAGATTATCTGTGTACTTTTGAGGGTAGGGATGAGGTTAGGAGAAAAAATAAAACTATTAGGGAAAAAAAAACTATCAAAGTACAAAACGATAATAAGGCTTAGAAAATTTCTCTAAGGATTGCAATTAATTCAAGTCAGCAATTTGGGAAAATACATTCCCAATGAGTCAAATGACAGGGGACAAAGATGTTAAATACCCAATATAGGTACATCTGCAAATAAAGAAGAAAAATGAAAAAAAAAAGCACAAGAAAAAAAGAGGGCTGGGATGTAGTCAGTGGTGTACTTGCCTGTGTGTGCAAGGCTTTGGCTTTGATCCTTAGCACAACAAAAAGAAAAAGATGAATAAGAGATAGTAATAGAAAATTACAGAAAAGGAAATTCAAAAGGCTTAAAAAGCATATGAAAAGATACTAAAAATGCTAATAACCAAACATTTAAAATGTATAAGCATCAGGACTCTGGCAAAAGCATGAATGAAGACATGAGGAGCTGGAGACCTCGGGGGAGGCCTGATGGAGGGAAGAGGCGATGCTGCCCTGGCTGCTCTGAGGAGCAGCTTGGCACTACATGGTCAGCTCTAATCCTGGGTATGACCCAAGTGTCTTCTCACTAGACAATACGAGAATGGAGAGGTGGGTGGGTGGAAGGTGCTGGAAGCACCCAGATGCCCACAGATTCATGGGATGGGTGCTGGTCATGGAGCGCTGTTATTCATTAGAAATGACCACTAGATGTCTATGGAGCAAACATGGGCATCCTAAGAGCAGAGCCGAGTGAAAAGGCACACTAAGTGAGCCATTTAATACAGGACCATTTCTAGAAAACAAAATGTCCACATACAAAGCAGTACACATGTGACAAGAAAGCAGAAAGATACCATTACTGCTAAGAGAATGGTCACTTATGCTGAGGGAGGGAAGGGAGAGAGGAAGGGGTAAAAGGAACACATAAGACCAGGAGAAGGCCAGATGGACCAGCAGGGTGCTTTATGAACCGAGGAGGGATGCTCAGCCCCACCTTGAGGGTGGCATCACAGTGGGTGCAACACAGCAGCTCTACCTCTCATCTGAAGTACCCCCAAAAAGTAAGCCGAAAACAAACAATAGACTCTCAAAATGCGTATACTTACGCACACATTAAAGAGACTTCTAAAAAAGATTCCTTGGAGTGGAGAGAAAAATCCCATACTCCATTATGTAACAAACATGTTCACCAGGCCACCAGCACAGGTGTACTTCATTCATTGATTCCACGAGCCTTTCTGAGGAACTACTGTGGGGCAGGCACCACAGTTGGTGCTGGAGGCACAGCAACACAGGAGGAAGGAGCCCTCCTCAAATTCCATCTAACAGCTCTAGTTTTAGGGACATGTAGGCACTGTATGATGACATGGGACGAGCCTGCTGTTCCCAGGATTAGCATCACACAGGAACACCACCAGTTAAAGAACCCCCAGCAATTCTCATACCTGCAGTGCTTGTTCGGGAGCCGGTCAAGGGAGATGGCCCTGTTTCCACAGGGACACTTGAAGAACCTTTTCACACCGTCATGCCAGTGGAAGTCGTGCTGCTCGCTGACACAGGTCTCCAGGGGCTTGAAGTGGGTGTAGGCGCACTGCATAGACCAACACGGAGCACAGTCCAGTCAGTAAGGACCATAGGAGACTGGGGAGCTGTCAGGGTCCTGCCCCAAGAGAACTTCTGCTCTCCTGTTCCTGCCCATTCCTTGCTGGGCCTTTGCCATGTTATCTACCTCCCATGACTAGAGTGACTTCTTGACTCTTCCTCATACCAAAACCACTATTTTTTGTTTTTTAACGGCACTGGGGTTTGAACTCAGGGCTTTGCACTTGCCAGGCAGGTGTTCTTACCACTTGAGCCACTCTGCCAGCCATCTTTTATGATGTTTTTTTTTGAGATAGGGTCTTGAGAACTATTTGTAAGGGCTGGCTTCAAACTGCAATCCTCTTGGTCTCTGCCTCCCAAGTAGCTCGGATTACAGGCATGAGCCACTGGCATCCAACTCCAATACCACCTTTTTTAGTGTCTGCCCTCATAAGGCATAAGGTCCACAATAACTTCTGTGACATTAAGATGACAGTAAGGCCAGGCATGGTGGCAAATAACTGTAATACCAGTGGCTTAGGAGGCTGAGGCAGGAGGATTATGAATTTGAGGCCAGCCTGGACTATATAGTGAAACCCTGTCTCAAAAAAGATAATAAGGGCAAAGAAGAAAAGGACTGTAAACCTCTCAATAGTTATGGTGGTCTGTCCTACACTTATGGAACATTGATTACTGGTCACTGGATAATGGGGCTTGGGGTCAATTTAGGAAGGCTGATCAGTAGCTCTTTCATTTCCTCTTATAAGATCTCTGAAAAGGATATAGCTTTGTTTTTGGTGGTTGGCTTCTTTCTTGCTAGGCAGGTGCTTTACCACTTGAGCCACTCTGCCAGCCTGAATCTAAGCTTATTACTACTCTCATTTCACAAGCAGCCATACAAAGACAGAGATACTACCTAGTTTACCTGTTATTCTGATTCTCAAAAAGATGGCGGAGAATACTAAATAGTAGAAGGGTGAAGCAGGTGCCAGGAGAATGCCATGTCATTTCTGGTGATTACATTGGGTCTGGATAAACTACTGTAGACTTTGGCAACCAAGGGTACCAGGGAGAGTGGTAACTGCCCTACTGGGCAGAATAACCAGAATAACGGCCCTCTAAAGACATCCATGTCCTATTTCCTAGAACCCAAGAGCGTGCTGTGTTACGTGGCAAAGAGGAATTAAGGTTGCTAATTGGGTGATTTTAAAACAGGGAGAGTATTCTGGGTTATCTGGATGGAACCAGTGTCATCATAAGAGTCCTTAAAAGTGGAAGGAGGCAGAAGAGGAAAGGAGTGATGTGATGTCAGAGTTCACCAAGGTCTCTGGACCTGTGGATGCTGGACTGAGGACACATCAGCACTTGAGAATGAATGCTGAGAACAACTTGGACCCAGTGGCCAAAGAATAAGATTTCAGAGGCTCATCTGTGGGACTGAGAGCTGTGGGCAGAGGAGAAGCTCTACCCACAGAGCTCCATGGTTAGATTAGGTAGGGAGGTGGGTCTCTGCCTGTCCTAGACAATTTGTTTTTCAGCCTAATTAAATGACCTATCAGAAGATACGGCCCTGCATTCCACAAATTCTCAATCTCCCGCTGATTGCACCAGCATCAGTCAAGCGCCCGCCTCGCACACACCGTCTTGCATGTCACTACTCGACATTTCACTTCTCTGATGTTTCTCATTTTTTCTTCCATTTGTTCTTTTTTCACCAGTGGCTCGAAATAGCATTCCTGCAGTTCAGCCTCGGTCTGAAGTCAAAACATACAGGGGTATTTGTACCAAATCCAATATATGGTCAGGCAGAGCACAAACAATAATTTAATAATGACTTCAATGATTCAGTTCAACAATAATCAAAACAGAATTGAAGAGGCAGGCTACGTGTTAGAGGACCCTAGATACTACACCTCAATGAACTAACTGCAATCCAAAGATGGTAAGAAGTGGAAAAAAGCCTGGAAATGTAGGGGGAAAAAAAGACCTGAAAGTACTTGATGATTTTTAAAACACCAAGTACAAATAAAAACCACCAACATCAGTAATAGTGCCTTTAAGTTCAGTGTGCACCAGCAGTTACTTGCACTGTTCTAATAGACTCCACGTGGGGAGGGTGTGCAAGGTCCCTGGTGATGACAGCCCCACATTAGGTAGGTCTCCTGGTTCAGCACTTGGCAGGAGAGCATGTGGGTTTTCAGGACAATAGAGAGTAAGGATGAGCCCAGGGAGATATTTATGGCAGAATGTGGGCACAGCACTAGAGCTAGCAGAGCTACACATGCCAAGAAGGGCTTTGGTGTCCACAAGAGGAAGAAGCTCCGCTCTACAGCCTTTTAGGATCAGCTCTGGCCTCTCTCCTGAGTTTCAAGTCCACTAGAAACATGATTTATTGGGGGGCAGGGAGAATGATAGGGGTGTGAATCTGATTAAGATATATTGTAAATATCACAATGAAACCCCTCCCCATACAACTAATATATTCTAATAAAAAATATAGAAAAAAAAAAAGAAAGGTCATTTATAACTTCTCTCTAGTTATTGGTTAATCAAAAGAGCAGATCATCAGGGGTATCACTAAATGTGAATGTAACCCCAGGGCCATTTTGTAAATCTGTGGGAGAACTTTTCTATTATCCTGATAATATCCTGATGTTTGCTATCTCTACCCCTGGCAGGGACCAGAGAGCTACATTTCTGCAGTGCACAGGATGTCCCCACACTTCACAGGATCATGCCTTGTCCTACAAGGATTCTGTGTGCTCATAGGGGGCATCAGTTTTAGTGAGAAAACTGTTGATAACCCTAGCCCAAAACTGCTTTATGCATGGTTTTAATATGCACTGAATATTCTGAAAGCACAACTAGGCGAGTCCTGTGTACACTGAGGAATGATTTGTAGGTTGGCTTCCCAATTCACTGTTTTTTTTTTTAAAACATCACATTAACAAAGACACAAACATATGGCACTTATGTTAGTTATTGAGAAAATGTACACAAGTGCTTATTTTGAGATGCCACATTACACTTACAAACCCAAGCTTCTGACTATCTCATTATATCTTCTAGAATAGCTGCTAACAAACGTTTATATAAGGAAAAATATTTCCTCTTCTTTACATTAGTTATGATATTATGACAGTTTTGAAATTACATAGTATAGCTAATTTACATTATCTGTGAATTTTGTTTCAAGATAATAGGGAAGCAAAACAAAATACTTTTATTTAAAAAGGAACATTGGAGTTACAGGTGCACTCCTGATTTAAGCATCTGGAATGCCAAAATGAAGCTATCTGAATGGAAAAGAATCCCTTCCCATATTGTACAGCAGAAAATAGCAAATAGTATTGAGCCATTTAAACCTAACGATTTAGAATTTGAGCCGTAACTAATGGAAATAGTTTTATAAATATTAAATATCTTTCAAATCATAATAAACCGATTGTTATTGTTCAGTGCAAGAACAAGGGCAAAGTTAAAAGTTCATCAGAAATGTTCCTGCCCTTCCAAGCAGACCCAAAAGAACTATGTTGAAGAAACAGAGCACGTCAGGCTCGAGAGGCGTGACATCCCAGGTCTTTTGGGCTCTTACCTCTTTCACGATGTGTGTGTGCTTTGACTTTGCTTGTAGAATTTTTTGGAATTCCTCAGATTCCAGGTAGGCCAGCTGCTCTCTCCTTTTCTTTCTGGCAGGTTCCAATTCATCCTCACCTAGAGCAGAAAACATTAGCTGTTTCAGAGGAATTTGAGAAAACCGTGTGTCCAATCCATTTGGCTTCCCATCATTCTGTTTCTTTCTGCCTCCAGGCCCTTCAAAGTTGACAGACCCTAGTTTGTAACCAGGAGAAAATTCAAGAAGTGAACTGAACCCGGTGCTGGTGGCTCACACCTGTAATCTGAGCTACTCATGAGGCAGAGATCAGGAGAATTGTGGTTAGAAGCCAGCCCAGGCAAATAGTTCACAGAAAATATCCAACAGAGGCTGGCAGAGAGGCTCAAGTGGTAGAGCACCTGCCTAGCAAGCATGAGGCCCTGAGTTCAAACCTCAATACCTCCACCAAAAAAAAAAAAAAAAAGTGAAATGAGAGGTACAGTCTACAACATGGGTTCATGGTAGACATGACCACTAAATTAGAATCTCTATTTCACTTTAATACAGGAAGCAGGTTATCATAGATAATAACAAAAATCCTACTTATAAAACTACTTTTAAAATGGCATAACCACAGGCTAAGGGCATGACACAAATGGTACAGCATCTACTCAGCACGCACGAGGCTGTGAGTTCAAACCCCAGTACCACCAAAAAAAAAGACACATGATATTCTGTTCCAGCCATTATTAGGCCACACTCACTAAAATGACATTACCTATTTGAGAATTTAAAAACAAAGGACTACTATTTCTTTCAAAGTATATCTTTATGCTGCTACAAATGTGCAACAATGAAATGAGCAATCCTTTTCTCAACTGTTCAAGTCATGCCTGATTTCATTTCAATTTAATGTGATTATAAAAATTCAATCTGTTCCACTTGTGGACATTCTTTTCAGGTGTTCTACAGAGAGAGCCCATGAAAGGATGGCTTGCGTCAGGGCTGGCTACGGTTTAGAACAACTCCCTTACTACCGGGATCTCTCCCACCGTTGACTTTGACACCAGTACCTTCAGGAGAAAATGCAGTGTTCTTTTCTACACGTTCCTTCACTTCCAGGACATCTTGGGGTTCCTTCTGCTTCCTTAGAATGTTGTTTGGATCTGTTTTTGTAAGAATCTGGCCTTTTGCCCTTAATTTGGCAATAGCAGCTACCTAGAAAAAAAAGAGAAGAGGAAGGTAAGACTCTAAAAGATGAGAGACCCGTGCCCCTTTTCAGTATTAACCAGAAGGATCTGCTTGTTCTCTAATAGAAACTGGTAGAATATTTCATTTTACCTAGCCTTATAAACATAATTATTAAAATTTGATAGCATGGTCTATAAGTTGAAGAATCATTACAGTTTAAGTTTAATATACAATGAATTCAATCCTCACTACCAAAAATATCTATCTATCTATCTATCTAACATAAACAGTTTAACATCAACTAGATTATAGGCTAAAAGGAACCACGTGACCATTTTGGAAGTTTTGAAATCAGACAAAATTCAGATAGAATTCCAGCCATGTGCCTGACTAGCATGTAGCTGTAAGGAAATGACTTCATTCCTCAGCCTCAGTTTCTGTATTTATAAAATAGGGATGGTCATGGCATTGATCTATCTTCTAAGGTCATAGTCAGGTGGATGGAATGAGACAATGCATGCACCTGTACATCAAAAAGAACACAGCACACCAACATCATAGGTGTACAGAAATAGGAATCAATATGTGTGATTATTATTATTGGTATTACTGGTTGTTTTGTTTTAAGATAGATCTCCTTATGTTGCCCAGGTTGGCCTCAAACTCACAATCCTACCTCAGCCTTCCACCTGCTGGGATTATATATGTGTACCACCACACCTGGCTTGGTATTACTGCAGTTATTATTTTGGTAAGACTTTCTTACTGAGCTACACCCCCCCAGCCCTAAAGGATTTTTTGTTTTTGGTGGTACTGGGGTTTGAGCTCAGGGCTTTGCACTTGCCAGGCAGGTGCTCTACCCCTCAGGCCCCTCCTCTAGTGAGGATTCTTTAAGCCACTATTTACAGTCTCACCTTAACAATTCAAGAATTTTCCCCTAATGCCAATGTCCCAGCTATAAAAACGAGATCTTCCTGGAGGCTGTCTCCTTCAGCCTGACAAGGAACAGCACTGAGAAACTAGGCTCTAACTTATTTTGATTAAATGAATGGTATTATGTTGACACCATTATTATTTCAAATTACTTTGACTCTGCTTATTATGATCAGCTGTCTTGTCTTTCCTGACCATCAGTACACAGTTTGAAATGCAAGCTGTTACACTGAACACAAAACCACGTGTTAAAGAAAACAGAAGCCAGTTACCTTTTTGGCCTCTGCTACCGCACTCAGCTTTGGTCTCTGTGGCGGCGACTCATCAAAAAAGAGAACATCATCCCCTTCTGAGATGCCTCGCCCGAGCTTGGGCATCTGAGGGGCCAGGGCTCCTTGCAGCCTGGGGAACTTGGCCCCTGTTTGTGGAGACTGGGCAGGGGGCTGTCCAGATGAGCACGGCACAGCTGGACTCTGAACTTCACTTGAGCTTTGGAGAAATCTTTGAAGAAATACACAGCAACAAAATATGAAGTTGGGCAGTGTGGCTCATTGGTACAGCACCAGCCTGGCATGTGCCAGGCCCTGAGTTTAGTCCCTAGTATTGCAAAAACAAACAGCAAAAAAAAATACACACGAAGGCTTACAAATATCAGGACTCCAAGTGGACTGGGAGACTAGGCAGACCAACGGATGATAACTAGTTGTTAGCAAAATAACTTCTTTTTATTAATAATTATTATGTAAAATAATAATTTCCTATTTTTAAAACAATAATTCAAATTAACACACAGTAAGACTAATACTAGCTTCACTTACTCTTGGCTGAGTTTCCATTGAGTAAACTATAATTATTTGTTCAATCCCTTTATTTTTTTGATGGTACTGGGGCTTGAATTTATGATCTCACACTTGCTAGACAGGCACTCTACAACTTAAGACATGTCCCTAGATCTTTTTTTTTCCCCCCCTGTTCTTTTTTTGCTTTAGTTATTTTTCAGGTAGGGTCTTGTATCTTTGCCCAGGTTGTACTGCACTGCAGTATATTTCTGTGTAGCTGGGATTATAGGCATGCACTACCAGGCCTGCCTGAGCTAAGGTCTTGCTAAATTTTTGCCCAGGCTGGCCTTGAACCACTATCCACCTGATTGCCACTTCCTGAAAAACTGGGATTATAGGTGTGAGCCACTGTGTCCAGTTTAGAACTGATCTGTTTTACCAACTGGCTTTCCCGTGGATGTTGTCTATATAGCACAGACCTGAAGCTGAGATGTGGAGGTATCCTAGACTATGGGTAGCTCTAGGACTTCTAAGACCCCACTCCTCACTGAATCCCTTGCATTTTAGTTCACTCTATTGGAAGACATAATACCTAGATATGTTTGGAAGTCCTTAACAAAGAGGTTTTGCAACTTGAATGGTGATTATTCTATGTGGGTTTAAGAGCTATTTTAAAACAGCAAACTTCAGAAATCATCATCCAAATTCTCATTTTATAGACAAAGAAACTGAGGCTTCAGATCACTTTGCTCCTACAGACCCAGGACAGAATTCCAGACCAGAGTTCCTTTCATTACCTGTGCCCAGTCTTCAAGCTGTAGGCTGAGTTTACAAGCTGACTATCAAATCCCACCCAAAGATAAATTTTGATTAGCCAACAAAATCCTGAAATGTGTCAAGTTGTAATTTTTTTTAAATGTTCTTTTTTTCCCACAAGGTGTACAATAGGTGTACAATGCCGTATATATTCTCTTTCTCTCTCTCTCTCCCCCTCGTGTGTATGTGTGTGTGTATGTGTGTAAGAGAGAGAGAGAGAACTGGAGGTTCATGGTACATACCTCCATTGATTGATATCCCTTCACTACCTCACACTAACCTGCCTGACACCAAAGCCATCCTTAATACTTTCCTTTACACGGGACCGCCTGCCTTCCAGCAGCTCTGATTTGAGGCAGCAAATTGGTTACACACTGGAGTATAGCAGGTGTGACTTGAAACTCCATGAGAGCACATACTCACTTTCTAACCTTTGGAAATGTCATAAGAAAGCCAGAATAACTGCACCCTGCAGAGATAGGGCAAGGAATGAATGAGATACTCTATTTATGAACAGTACTGCACAGTACATGCTAAGCACATACTGTAAACAGTAGGTCTTACCATATTCGGGGAATCTTTGAATTTTGTCCACCTTCCACATCCATTTCTTTTTGATTTTGCCTCTTACATGACTTCCATTTTTAGCACCTTGTTTTTTGTCATTTACTTGAGCAGCTACAATAATCTACTCATTGGCTCTGCTTGTATTTAAAGTCTAACTATGGCAAAGCCAAGGAATGACAGCCAAGTAGGTGACCATGTGCTTTCCCTTTCTCAAAACCCTCGTCCCACTTCTCTTCTTTCTCTTTTTTTCCGGGGTGAAACTAACTACTCTCGTGCTTCAGGAGCCACTTAGAAATTACAATCTTCAATGTTATTTAGGTTATTTAAAAAATGTAGACAACCAAAATCAGAAGTCATGTTTTTAAAATTTATTATGACATCATTGAGAACTCCTGAGATGAGTTATCCAAACAGGAAATGTTAGTTCTGGTATGCTTACCGTTTCTGTATTTCTTCCGATTTCCTCTTCCTCATCTCCAACATCTGTTGCTTCTGTTGCTTCAAGAGGGCTGATGCCGAGATAGACTGGATGGCAGGTTTAGGGCTCCCCAGGAGTCCTAAAACACAAGCCCAGAATGAGGGGTTCTCTAAGAGGCTGAGGGAACTTGGCACACACACTGCAGTCACACAAGATAACGGTACCTGAAGATGTGGCTTTGGCTAAATGTTTTAAGTTTCTGGCTCCAAACGTTGGCAGGGCCATCAATTCTCTGAACTCCTCGGAGCAAGACAAGCTCTTCTGGGGTATTCCTGGGATGTAAGCATCAGCATTAAAAGATTCAAAATTCAGATGGTTTGATGTTGTGTGATGTGCCATTTTTTACACTTGTCACTCATAATTTAGTCATTTGTAAATGAAGTAGATGGGACACCAAGAGGCAGTACAGAACCCTGAACCTTTACCATCAGTCTTAGTAGGACTGCAAGGGTATCGTAAGTGATGACTAGAATATGAAGCATCTGTTATCAGTGGGGTCCCTTGATACAGTACTTCTGTAATACACATGATGGCCAAGCGTCGGTGCCAGGCCCGGCCATTGTTAGGACCGTATGTGCAGGTGGGGGCATTCTCTGCTCTAGGTCTATTTTAACAAAGGTAATTGGGAGAAGCTGATGGCACTGGTTGTAAAGCTGGATGTTAAGGGTTTGACCATCATTTCTTCAGAAATCTTAGAAAGCATATGAAGCTAAGACAGAGTTAGACCAATGCTGCTTTTCCTTAATGTCCTGCCACCAGGCTTGATGCCTTTAGCCTAGCCACACTACCCACTAAGCACACGTGATGAGTGGCTAGCCAGAAATGGAGGATGAGGAGACAGTTACCGAGTTTTTGCTTCGTCTCCTGAATGATCGTGCTTGTGCCCTTGACAACCAGATTAGTCAGCGTGGTTTGAATCTTCTTCTTAGGAGCAATGGCTGCTGCACTGAAATGACAAGATCCCCAGAGAAAGGGAAGTCATGAGCTCCAGCAATGATGAGTACAGAAGGCAGGAATCACTCAACGTATTCATTACCAATGTCAAGTTTCTCAAAGCACCACACAAGCAAGCTTTGCCAGTCTCGGCAACACACTTAACTGGCTTACGAATTGTCTCAGATGAAGAACAAAAGGCAACATGCAATCTTGCTTGAGGCCATTCTGGAAGGCCAAAGAAATAAAAACAAAACATGCCGACAAGCTGGACACTGGTGGCTCACACATAGCTACTCAGGAGGCAGAGATCAGGGGGACTGAGATTTGAAGCCAGCCTGGGCAAATAGTCTAAGAGAACCTAGCTCAAAAAACCCTTCACAAAAAAAGGGCTGGTGGAATGGCTCAAGTGAAGACCCTGAGTTCAAGCCCCAGTACCACACACACACAAAAAAAGCTAACACTTTGATTTGAAGTCAAGGAACTTAAATTCAAATAATTAAGGACTGAAAAAATGTAGGCCATTAACTGCAGCTTAGTTTAAAATAGAAGTAGAAATACCATTAACCCCATGGGGAACTGCTTAAAAGAACCATGTAAAAGAATACTATGTAGCCACTAAAAATAATGACATAAATGAATACTTGCCAAGGAAAACCTTTTATGTGGGAGAGAGGTTACAATGTATAGGTACCATAGAAGTTCATTTTACACTATTAGAAATTTACTGGGCTGAGGATATAGTTCAGTGGTAGGGCAACTGCTAGCATGTCCAAGCCAAGGCCTGGGTTTAGTCCCAAGCACCATAAAAAACAAACAAAAAACCCTTGACACTTAGGAACATATATACCTAGGAACTAATAGGTTTCAAGGTGTTAAGATTAAAGATGGTTTAATTTTCTCCTTTTGGTTGAACTATATAACTCTTGTTTAAAAAATATGTACATACACTTCTTTTAACAGTGTGGAAAAAACAGAAATTAATTTAAATAGCGAAAACATGATTGATGTTACCAAATACACAGGAAGTGAATCCTCTCACCCAATTCCTGTTGGATCAGGAGCAAAATCTATGTTTTGTTCTTGGACTAATTCTAGTTCCCTTGAATCAAGCACCTACCTGTTACACACTCAAATGTGGTCCTTACACGGCCATTTATCACCTCCTTGGAGATTCCATAGACAGCACCCAGAGAGGGGCCGTGCACATCTGCCCAGCATCATCCCAGCCCTACGTGAAGACTCACTGCGTATGTGTGCATGAAATTCAATTTGGGTTCTCAGAGGACTGCGACCTCACTCAAAGTCCTAAGTGAAATGATTCAAGGACTATCAACACTGTGATGAATGCACTCCCAGTGGCCATACCATCAGCCCTGGCACAACTGTGTAAGAAGTCAAAGAACAGGCTCTATGTGAAAGACGTCCAGGACATGACTCACTTACTCTTTTTTCCCTCTGGTCTTTCTACACAAGAATAAAAGAGGTCTTCAGCTACCTTGTTACAGGCAGTGAGCAATGAACAATAAAACCTGGCAAGTGTCCTATGACAGACACAGAAAGTCCAGCCATCAGCTTTGCTCTTAGAAGACAAGCAAAATCCTTGTGGCGAAAGGAAACCCTGACAATGCTTACATGGAGGCTGCGTAGGATGCAGAAGACACTCCCCCATAGTAGAAGCCATCCTGACACAGCCGCTCCTTGAGGCTGGTGCCTTTGCGGGCAAACTTCTTTGGTATTCGTCCTCCGGAGAAGGTGGACTGCAGATCTGCTCGCTTTGCACTAAGCTTCTTGTACTGAGCCTGGATGTGATACTGACAGTATTCACAGTCACTCTGCAGGAAAGAGCAGCTGATGAGGACAAGGTCCCTTCCTCCCGACCTCACAGTACCATCTGTAGCCTGCCGACCTCCACAATTCCCAAATGGAAAGCCATATGGCTCCCAAGGGGACGAAATTTCTTCTTAATTCCCTCTTAAAGCACAGTGATAGAGAAAGTGATGTCACCCTTCCCACTCTCTTCCTACAATGGCAATAAAATCAGTTCCTAGAGTGAACCCTGAAGAAGCCAGACACACATAGCTACATTTCTCATGACTCCTTCTGTAGAAGACCTGGAGATTGAGAATGACTCCTTACTGGGTATGGGGTGTTTTTAGGAATGATGAAGTTTTGAAACTGAAAGAGCTGGTGGTTGTGCAACTAAATACCACTGAATTGGGCACTTTAGAAATGGTTAATTGTGTACATGTAAATTTTACCTCTATAAAAGTTAATTAAAAAAGTAGCTTCTAGCAGCTTTTCTGGCTATTTCTCTGGTAGACTCTTGGACAAATGCTACCATTTCAAAGAAAAAAAAAGAGAAACATAGTATTGCTCTATGGTGACTCCTTAGATGACCATGGATTTTCTATGATCTAGCTCCCACATGGAGATCTCTGTCCAGTACTTTCTCTTAGATCTCACCTCTCTGTCCTTACTATGTCTTGTTCACTACTTCACCTATTATCAAGGAACAAGGGAGACAAAATGAGATAAACCAAAACTTGTCATTAAATCCATTCAAAGACTGTAGGAAGTACCTCTTCATTCGTAGTAGGATGGCTATCATCGAAAAAAATGTGGAGAAATTGGAACCCTCTTATGGTAACTGGCCAAGAAATAGAAACTTCCCTGCCCTTAGTTTCCTAAACTGACAATTATTAATTGCACATTCAATTCACTCATCTTGACTCTTCCTATTAAGTAGAAAACTCAGTTCCAATTTGATCATTATAGCTAAAGTACCTAAAAGTCTCTTCCCAAGAAATCTTTTCTTTAGTAGAGACCATCCTAACAAGGCTGACACTAACCAAATTAACAGTCTGTGTACATGGTTCTCCATTCTTCTTCCTGGCTTTACAGGTTCCTAGGTCCAGAGCTTCACCCATAATTAAGACCTTTTGAGGATGATCAATTGATAAGCACAGCTATGAAAGAGAGGAAGGTATGAGTTAAAAGCAGACAAGGCATGGCTTTTAATTTATTTATTAGCAAGAATAAATACAAGAAAGGTTGGCTTTATTGGGCGAAACAAATTTGAATCCAGTGTTCTGATAAAGAGAAACCCAAGTGCAGAAGACCCATTCAGTTCTTTCCCCAGGAACTATCCTTTCTTTCCTTTTGACCATCAGCATCCTGAATTTGCTTGAGCCAGTCAAGTGCTCAGCCTCAGGTAATAATGAATCCTGCTCACTGTTTTCCAGCATTCCTTATAGCTAGTAATGGTCCTGTGACTAAATCCTAGTCAAGAAGACTTAAGCCAGAGTTGGTAGGGAAGCTCTTGCTTTCCTGATAAAGCAGATAGAGCCTGACTCACCCTACCTCTTTACTTCAGCCTTGAATGGTGACATGATGGCCACTGAATGGCCTTGGTCCACCTAGTTCTTCCTGCTCTTGCTGACAATTCTCAGGCAGAATGTGTCAAGAATACTACATCCTAAGATAAGGAGGACTGCTGAACAGCCTGGGCTCTGTCCTGCAACATTGAGCTCAGTGAGTCCAGTGGTTACTGGGTTATAAAACCAAGGGCAGAGAGCTTTTGGAACACTCAGCTGTAGTGCAAAGTGGGGCACAAGTGGACAATATTTCTTCACCATGGGCAGTTTTCCTGAGCCTTGAGGCATTGGCTCACTGTAGAGCCTAGGCTTCTGCTGGTTCTTGCAGCCCATCTATGAGTAATAAAGTTGCTTTGTGTGAGTATTCTGTCTCACTGAACTCGTACTCTGGCAGACTCCTGCCAGAATGAGGAATTTTAGTAGAAATTAGCAAACTGTTTAGAGTTCTACACTAGGATTCATAACCCATGCATGGTGTTCCCCTCCCAAGGTCTGATACCATTACATAGTATCTGCTTCTTAGTGACAGCAGGAGCTTCAGAGTCACTCACAAGAGTGACCAAGAAGGAAAAGCAGAGACATCACTACACTGCCATGTTTGGATTTTTTATTATATTTGAAAAATAAACCCCACTGTTTATTGTTAAAAAGAAACTACCTTGAATACATTCCTATCCAACAGGTGAAGATTTGTTGTCATTTTCTGCTGCAAACAAGGAATGAAATAACTTTTTTCTCACTCCTGAAAACAATCTGACTACACTAGAATAAAGCTTCTTGCTGGGTCAGGGTAGAGAAATGACCTATCATTATTCACACTGAGTCTAGAGCTGCAATTTACTAGGGACACCATGAGTAATACCAAAACTCTAACATTGCTTAAGAAGATAAATATTACTTTGATTCTAAACTGCAGTTATGGCTGTGATAATTAATGGAGCAAAATTCCTTTAGCCATAACACAATGCCTTTTTGATGTCACCATGGAAATTTATGTAAGGGATCTAAGGAAACCTGAGCATAAGAGTTAAGTAAATTCCAAGAGCCTTGGAACTAATTTGGTAGAAGTTCAGACTATTGGTAGATGATCAACAAACAAAGGAAAGATCAGATTAATGGAGACACACTAATATCAAAGCATGATTTTACTGTTTGGCAGTAGACTAATACAAATGTTTTTCATGAAACTCAGCTAAGTTGTAGAAACAACCAATCAGTGAAACAAATGATGAACAGATTCTTACCTCCTCTGAGCCATCCTTGGGTTTCATGGGGTTAGCATTGAGCAAACCTATGACAGTACCCTGCTCCGTCTTCCAGAGCTCCTTGTGAACTTCTCCGAACAAGAACAATGACACATACCGGGTCAGGTCACGAAGATCATTTAGTCGCCAGATGCTAAATGTTTTTCCCTGAAATGAATATTTATTCTTAGTTTTAATAATTTTTGAGCCATGGCTTACACTGCCTCCATTACTGTGGAAAAATATATAAATATAATCCATCTTCAACATGTAATCACCAGAATGTCTGCTAATCATAAACCAATCCTTTCTTTAGGCTTTAGTATTATATTACTGGGCTTGTTTTAGAGATGAAGGTGAAGCAAGGCAAGCCAGGAGCAAAGTGTTAGTAGACCTAACTGTCAGTCTGAATAGTGGGTGGGATAGCACTGCTTTCCTAATGACGTGTACATGCACACAAACCATTAGGACAAGAGGCACCTATGGTACTAACATTTAACAACTTACTGATATGGGTACTTGACAAGTCTATTACTTATCACTGGTTAATTATATTATTAATAGCAGTAAGGAGGCTTCTGTTGTATGCTATTAAACCTTTGCTTGACTTAGAAGGATAACAAAGAAAGCCAGCAGAGTGTGAAAAATTTCATAGTATCACACAACATCTGAAGAAATACAAATCAGAATGCTTACTACTTGCAACATGAATATTCTCCACTCAAAAAAAAAAAAAAAAAGAATCATTCAAATAATATTGAAGCGAGCTACTTCACAGGGGCACCCAGGATGTGTGTTACAGGTTATGTGAGTCACTAGCTGCACTCTGAGTGTTATAATTGTTCTTCCGTGCATTTGTTCCATGCTTTTCTTGGAAGAGTTCAGATAAAACTTTCTCACCTATTATTTCAATGTCATTGTAGTCACCTGTGAAGCAATTAAGAACTTAATCAAATGAACACCAGACTGTTCACATTTACCTCCACAGTCATAGGGACCAGTAATCTAAAACTCAGCCTTTGCGTCAGATAAAGAAAAATCTGAGGTTGGTCAAGATTTATATTAGTGAATAACATCAGTACTGAGCATGTACAATCATACAGTCTTTCAAAGCTGGGAAAGATCCTCAATATAATCAAAGCCAGTTCTTTCTTTTTACAGATATGAACATACAGGTCCTTAAAAAAAGATTAAGGGTCAACCTGAGGCCCTTACTGAGAGAACAAAGCTTAAAACCCAGGTTTCCTGGCTTTCTAGACCATAATATTATTTTCCGATGGTGCCTGAGTCAACTGCAATATTGAAACTTGTTAGATCTTTTGTAACAGCCATCAAATTAAATATACCCTCATCATGCCAGCAATTTCAGCACTTCTGGGATGATATCTTACATCAACAGGGATCTCCAAAAGACGTGCACACTCAGCCTGATTATGTAACCTTCTCCTCCACAGGAGGGATTAGTGTCACAAGGACAACCACAAGTGCCACCAAAACCAATGACAAGTTAACCACAATGAGAATGATTTGGACAATGAAAGCCCAAGAGAGCTGTACAACCAGCTCTTTAAGTAAGACATTCTTTACATATACTGCCCTGAATACTGAAGGACATGTGGCAATGAGAAGTGATTCAAAAGTATGAGAGTCCCCACTGTTGGTTTGCAATGGAGCAGCTCAGCAATCAGTGAAATGGCTTACACTGTTAGAACTCTGTGGAGTGATTTTCTTCAATATAACTCCAAATGTCACCCAGTCTATTTCTTCCAGCTTGTCGCTCACCATCTTTTCCTTGATCTGAGACAGTCTGATCAGTTTTCGGCCAATCATTTTCTTGTTCATTTCTGTGGAGGACACTCGAGGTCGCCTGGGTTAAGATTAGTGGATTGTTAGTCTAACAAAAGATTATCTGGTACCTTATTATGATACCTCAGGGACTTAGTTATATACTATACTATGGATAAGGCACACACTTTTTTTTTTTCCCTTTTGGGTTTTTGAGACAGGGTCTTGCTATGTTCTAGGCCTGGGCTGGCCTGGAACTCTCAATCCTCCTGCCTTAGCTTCCCAAAGCTGTAATTACAGGTGTGCACCATCATGCTTGGCTAAGGTACACCTTTTTATAGCAGATAAATGCTTTTTTTTTTTTTGAGACAGAGTCTAAACTATGTAATCCAAGCTAGTCTGGAACATTAAATCATCCTTCTTCAGCCTCCTGAGTGCTGAGATTAGAGGCATGAACCATCACACCCAGCTTAATTTTTACATCCAGCTTAATTTTTAAAGCAAGATTTGCTTTTCCTTGGATATAAATCTGATTTAAAAGGTTATTTTATAACCTTTCATGCTTTTTTATAAAATCAATTCTAGGAAAATATGATTTTTGTTAAATTGCATGTCATTACATATTTAAATATAGTCTATGATCCCTAGCACTGCAAAAAATAAAAAATAGTAGTCTAAATTCTATCTAAATAAAGATGGGAATATGATTGATGAACCCTATATATGTGTATGAAGAGAGAACACTGAAACCTGTCATAATCATTTGAAGTAATGGGGAGGGACAGCAGGGAGAATGATGGTAGAAATGAACCTAACCGAGGTACATTGTAAGCATATATAGAAATGTCATATTACAACTCCTTGTACAACTATTGTATGCTAATAAAAATTTTTTTGTAAAAAAGGACAGGAAAAAATTATATAGTCTATATCACTGTTCCCACCTGTCAATTTCTGAATATATACACTACTGTTTATTTCCTTTTGTAGATAAATATTTCTTATTCATTGTATAAAAAAGAGTAAGTCTTCCTTAAACACCTCATATGCAGCAATACTGAGTCAAACCAAGTGCTGCTGTTGACCCATTATCAAGCTTTGTCTAGTTCAAGAGCTCTTGGTTGGGCTGGAGTTGTAGCCCAGTGGTTTAGTGTTTGTCTAGCACGCATGAGGCCCTTGGTTTGATCCCCAGAGCCACAAAAAGCTCTTGGGTGCTGCATAAATACATTGCTTCTAGAGGATTCCATCTTCTGAGAGCAGAAGAGCCATCTAGTGGTACTGAGAGAATGAGGTGGCTGTTTATGGCTACTGACCTGAGCCGCAGGCCAGAGAAGGCTTCCACAGAGACCTGTGGAGCTGGTTCAACAGAACTTCCTGGGGTCCTTGAGCTCTGATCTCTAGTTATTTGACTGGGTTTATTCCCAGGAATCATTCGTAGTGGTTCAGAGGGAGCATTTGTCTTCCTTGAAGATGTGATTTTGGGCTCTAGAAAGTTAACATAAAAATTAAGTGAAAAGAAAACCACACTGAGAAGCACCAAGTTTGCTTATAAAGTTCTTTTTTAAATCAATGATGCAATAACCAAATCTTCAGAGAGAACAAACGCAGACCACATGACCAATTCTGACTACCCTCAAAATCTGTAGTGAGGTCCAATAGAACTTTCTGTGATGATGGAAATATTTTGTGTTAGTGTAATCCAACATGGTGGTAGCCACCTGTTACCTGTAACCATCAATCACTTAAAATATGACTAGTGCTTCTAAGGAAGTAAGTTTCTAACTGAAGTTTAAATAGACACACATAGTGGCTACAGTATTACATGGTGCAGTTCTAAATGCAGTGACACCTATTGAGTACTCAACATATTCAAGCATCACTTACTCCCTACGGAGTAAAAGCCTTCCTTCAGGAATGATTAGTGGAAATTTGTGCACAGATCAAATACGCAAAGCTAATTCCTCTTTCTTCTTCCTTGTTTCATTTCATTTCATTGCATTGCATTCCATTTTATTTGTGGAGTAGCGTCATAAAAGGGGGACCAGGGTACTCTACTGCACACATTAAATATCCCTGATGTGGTTACTTTTCAGATTTAAGAGGTGGCTGCAATGCTCCCAAAGATCAGAAAGCTTGGGTACAGTCCATAACAAAATATGTAAGACTGTTTTGTTCACTCTCAAATGGACTTTGGTAATTGCTCCCAAGCTAAGAGCAATGTCCTTTTCTCACCCCCGCAAAACCAAACTTTTTTCTTTCCTAATGAAACACCTTAGTAATGCCAAAGTCTCAAGGGAACAGGCACTATACAAATATAAGTGGACAAAATGAACGTATAATTTACTATTGAATTAATATGAACAATCCGAGGCTACAGCTATTCTCTATTACTCTGTCAGGTCAAAGCTATTCAAAAGTGTCTTTTTGAACAAATATGGCCATAAAATGCTGCTTTGTCTAAGCCATGTTACAACAAAACCAATACAAAAGGCTTAAAAATCTTTTTTTGTTTTATGTGTATGTATATGTATGCTGAAAAAAGATTCTTTCTATTCTATTCACATGGCAAAGGAATTTTTTCTAAAGAATAGACCTTTTGGCTTAATACAACTTGTCTTCAAATACACTTGATCACTTTAAGGGAATATGTGCCTTAATCTCACAAGCCTGAAGGTTAAATCAGATTTCCGATTTTATTGAGCATAAGATCTCAATCCAAGTTATACAACTATGGTCAAAGTAAAACTAAAAGACTACAGTTAACCTGTTAACTATTTAGTAAATACATACTATGTGCCTAAGGATTTTCTAAATACTTTGAGACAAAGATGAGCACAAAATAGAATTATTCTAATAAACTTACTTTTCTCAAGAGGAAGCTAAAACAGACCGACAGACACACACACATACACACACGTGTACAACAGTGCCAAAACAGCCAGAGCAGTGTGAACCTGAGGTTTTGAGTACCACACCTATAGGAGAAGTCTTGGGTGTCCGAGCCAGCCGCTTGGTTCTGTGTAGAACAGGGACCTCAAGTTCTTCAGAAAAGCATGTTGATTCCTGAATTCTCTGAACTTTCTTCTCTTTAAGAGGGGGCCGTGGAGACTTAGCTTCTTGATTGAAAATAAAAGAAGTAAGTCAGCAGGGTGCCAGTGGCTCAAGCCTGTAATCCTAGCTACTTGGAGGCTGAGAGCAGGTGGATCACAGTTCAAAGCCAGCCTGGGCAAATAGTTTGAGAGACACCCCCTCCCCCACTTCCAAAAAACTATATATATACATATATATATACATGTATATATATATATATATAAATATACATAAACTATATATAAACTATATATATACATATATATATATATATATATATATATATATAACACCAGAGCAAAATGTACTGGAGGTGTGGTCCAAATGGTAGGGTCCCTGCTTTGCAAGAGCAAAGCCCTGAGTTCAAACCCCAATCCTACTGAAAAAGAAAGAACTTAGGAAGAGACACAAAGACTGTTTTGCCAAGAGTTGGATGTAAAGTATGAAGTTATAATTTCACAACAGAAATGCCTACTATTACATTCTGATTACCAGGGGATTTATGAAGAATGACTGGACTTGCAGGCGGTTTAATTGATGCTGCTTTTAGCTGTTCTTGTAATGACTTCATTTGCTCTTGCAACTTCCTTAATTCATCTGAGAAAGAAAAATATATTTTTTAAGAACAAGGTAGAAGAAAATATTATATATTACAAAAATACTTGGCAATATTTGTGTTGTCCACCTGTGTCCCAAAATCTTGAGACTCACGATATAACCACATGCCTAAAACTTGTGATTAATTTTTGTACTTCAAAGAAGTCCTTTAGAGAAATGAACTTTTTATCTCCAGTAATCAAGGCTCTGACACCTAAGCTACCTAAGAATTTCTACTCCTGACAGATATTACAGATGCACTTCTAAGTTAAAATTTTAGAAGTCAAGCAATGATTCTATTTATTTCATAAACTGGAATGTCATAAATAACATAATAAAGGCTGGCTCCTATATTAGAAGAAATAGCTAACAACTGAATTTTATTATAACTTAAAAATATGTAAGAGAAAATGCCAGAAACAAGAAAGCAAGTATTCCTTAATGCTTCAGTTCAGAATGGTTTCTTGCTCAAGTAGAATATTTGGTGCCTTTGTAGACCTGTCCCCAGCTCCATGTGCACATAGATCCTAAAGTAATATATTTTGTTACAAGCACAAACAGCACTAGAGCCACTCTGTAGAAGATCAATTATGGCTGCCTGACAAGGATATGGGAGGCCTCTAGACACTCAAATGCTGATCTTAAATATCTCATCTACCAACTCACACAATTTTTAGTTTTTACGATGTAATTTATCAACACCCTTGAATCAGCAGCTAATTTGATGAAGACTGGGGTTTTCATCGACTTTGTCATGAAGAAATGAAAGAAGGCAAGTTGTTAGGGCACCTTGCAACTCCTGATTGGTTTTCTCTTGCTTCTGGGCAGGAGCAGTGAGGACCCTGTTTTCAGTTGGTTGCAATGTGGGAACTTCTTCATCTGTTAAGTCCCCCACATCTCCAAAGAGAGTGGCCAAATTTTCCTTCTGCTCTTCTGTCTTCCCCACTTCCTCCTCAGCCTCTTCTGTGTAAGATTCACCGTCACCATCAGCATCAAAAAGCTCATCATATACATTGGCTCACCATCTTCCTGGGGCAAGGAGTTATTTTCTTCTACACTACAAGCCAAGGCTGACTCATTCTCCTCTAGCAGAGATGTCAGCAGAGACAAATCATCTTCTTCCACTACAAGACACAGAAGAGCAAGAAGAGAGATTAAGCTTACCTGAGAAAAAGCACTAATGACAAGCATAACTAACTCAAAAACTCAACACTAACGTGGCAATTAAAATGAACCTATAGATTCCTTTTGTCTGGTGTACTTGTTGTTCTCCTGACCCTGGGTACTTCTTAGAGGGCACTGGGCTAAGGGAGAAGGGGCCAACATTTGCTTAGTTACTAGAGTGGGCCAGGCTCTTTTTAGAGTAGACCGTTGATATCTGTGGATCTCTGGTTATAAGGAAAAACTGTGCATGCTCAGTGCTGTGTTGCAGATGCTTGATTCATTTTCCCATAACACCGCCTGACTTCCTCTAAAGACATGCGGTCTTTCAACAGGTCTCACATTTTCACTTTATCATTTCAATTAAGCATATCCACTTTTTTCATGTTTGGGCACCACTTGCTTTTTTGAAAGGCAGATTTTCACAAAATTAGAGGCAGGGAAACTCTCAGTTGATGACGCAGAAGATTTAAACACAACTGATAACATGGGACCAACAGTTTCTCCACATCAACTGGGCTGCATAATGCAGGCAGGAATTTAAAATTTTTTTTTTCAAAATTCCTTTTGATTTTGTTATTTTTTGACTGTGCTTGTAATACATCTGCAAATAAGATGGACTTAATGTACTTGCAATATTTTAATGAATGAGACAACTTCCTGCATACCAACTTCCATGAAATTCAACCAACAACAGAATAACTAAAAAACACTACCCACCCATTAGCTCTGTGTATGTTTTCTCATTTTGGTTGTTTTAAGATTTTTTTTTTTTTAAATATAGAAGGTATATAAAAAGTACCCAATATCTTGTAATGCAGAATTAGTCCTCATTAACCTTTGTGTCACATTTGTTTCTGGCCTTTGATGTTAAGTAGCACTTTATAAAGTGTGTCATGCCAAACCTTATCCTAACTCCTTGCCACTGTACTTTTATGAAAGTGCAATCACTTTCATAATTTTGGGGTATCTATCATTCTTGTCCTTTTATACTTTCACATAAATATATAGGCAGTCAATCCATAATATTAGATTGTTTTAAGAGTATTTATATAAATATTTCATACTGTATAGATGAACATTGCTTATAAAATGAACCCAAATCAGAACTTAGAGTTCTGGTTTATTTCTTTCAGTTCTTGTATCATATTGTATAGCAAGACTGTATTATTTTATTAATCCATTTTCCAAAAGGACACAGAAGTTACTAAATAAGTTGCAATCACACATACATCTTCTCCCCTCCCCCCACAGGACCGGTTTTCCTTTCTGTCCTTTATTTATTAAAAAAGAACATTTTTGTTAGTTTATGATAGTTATACAGGAGGTTTTGTTATGACATTTCCATATATACATGTATTATACCCCAAATTGGTTCATCCCCTCCATTATTCTCCCTCCTACTCCATTTCCCTTCTTGTGGTGAAAAGAAGGGAAACTTCAATAGGTTTCAATGTTCCATATACTCATACTTGCATAGGAAATTCATCAACCATATTCGCCCTCTTTACTTTCTTCATTTATCTTCCCAATCAAACTAGTGCCCTTCCCTTAACATGACCTGCTTTTGTTCCTGTCCATTGTTTATGTGTCTGTGATCAAGTCAGTGTAATCCTCCTCCACTGCATTTCCTCACCCTTTTCCCCCATCCTGTGTTATTCAACAGTTTTCAGTGTTTCATTGTCGTGTTCCTACACAGATCTGATGTATTTCATTATTACTTGCTTTCTATCATTCTTCCCTTCTTTTCCTCCTCCCTTAGTCTTCTCTAGCAATCTCACTTTTGGAAACATGTTCATGTGTACATCTTCTTGCAAATGTATGAGCATTTCTTGGAAATATGTCTCAGAAGTTGAATCGCTGGATTATTGTGTATACACATTTCCAATTTTATTAGCTGCTGAAAATGGTTCTCAAAATGGAAGTCCTCTCACTAGCACTGAAAGCAAGTATTATTTCTCCACACCACCTCACCAAAAATTTAACATTTTTGGCCAAAGATTATTTTGAAAGGTCTCACTTTTTGATTGGCATTTTATGGATTACTGGCAAGACTAAGACCTGTTTGTTTATTGGCCAACTGGAATTTTTTCTTAATTTATCTGCTGATTTTCCTTGCTTCATTTTTTTTTTTTCCCCTATTGGGGCAATATTTCTTTATAAAACCAGAGGCATGTAAAGTGTTAAGGGTATCTGACCCATTCCTGTCATTTGAAACACTGGGGCTGCAGTCAGAGTGGGCAAAGACTTGTTCAGGATCACATGAAGACACAAGTCAGTGTAGCAGTCTAGGTTAGTAAGGAGGTCTCTAGATCAGCAAATCTTGTCCTTCCTAAAGCTCTCTATTCTCTTAGGAGAAGGAAAAGACCCTAGAGCCAGACTTAAGCCTCGAATGTGATGACAAGCCAAATGTTTACTCAGATGCTATTTAACAACTAGTTTGCTGAGTCAAGAAAGACTCCAAGACTCTAGTGTGCTGCACAAAAGAGGCAATCCCAGCTCTTCGTGCTCCAGGAGAGATGGCTACAGCTCTGCAATGAAGCAAAGAGGCCTCTATTACCTCTCATTCCTACCTGTGGAAGACAGTACCCCCTGCAAAAGGCCTTGCCCACAGGTTCAAAATGTGGCCTGGTAACTGCATACTCTTCATCATTCTCTCATGAGATTACCAGGGCCAATCCCATGATGCCTCCTGACCCTGTTTGCCTCGAGACCACAAAAAAAATCATCCCTCTTTTCCATGTTGTGCTGACCCACTCATGCTACTTTCTTGTTCCCAAACCTCTGGGACCCATTCCCTGGAATTTACACTCTACAACCAGCAAGTAGTATTCTTTCCTCTATCCTCAGTGACTCTTAGAAACCTGGCTGGCCCTGCAACCCTGTTCAGTGGAAGTTAACTGTTTACACCTCAGAGCTTTGCACTTACAAAGCAGGTTCTCTATCATTGGAGTCATACCTCCAATCCATTTTACTCTGGCTGTTTTGGAGATGGGGTTTTGCTTTTAGCCTGGGCTGGCCTCAAATTATAATCCTCCCAATCTCAGCCTCCCAAACAGCACGGATTACAGGCATGAGCCATCAGTCACTGCTTTCCCATTTTTTATTTCACACTGTCTTGCCTCCAGTGTCCTTTGTCCCTCCTACCTCTGTTAGCTGATGATGTTGATCTATATTTTACAGAAAAAATAGAAACAATCGCTTCCTCATCTTTCACTACCAAATCTAAACCTAAGTTCTCTGCTTTCCTTGCTGTGACAATGGACAAAGTGCCTAGTCCTATTTACAGCCAATTCTTCCATTTATAGACTGGATCCCATTCCTCTCAACTTCAGACAGACTTCATGCTACAATTACCAGCTCTCTGTCTCCTGCCTCACCAATTGTTCCCTTTCTTCTGGAGCATTCCTATTCACATACAAAGTCCCTCTAGTGTCTCCCATCTTACCAACTACCTAGTAATATAGGGTTTTTTTTCTATTATTTTGCTCCCTCTCTGAAAATGTAAGCAGGAACAATGTTCAACAGTATATTCCTACTACAAGTAAACCTTATGATTTCCTCTACATTGGCCAAATTATGAAGCTATGCCAATCAAATGAGATTTTTCTACAAGACATAATGATTTCTTAAAGAGCACATATCCACACACCTCTTGTTTTCATGTCCATCTCATGGCAAAAAGTTATACTTTGTATTGCAGAAATTACCTTGTAGGCAATTTGGTGACCTTAGGGAATAGGAAATTATTATTATACCATAGGGCAATGAGTTTCAGGTTTACCAAAATGTGATGAATTTCAACATTGGTTTTACTTTTTTTTAAAGAGGGCAAAGTTAATAAACTTGAATTTGAACAATGCATTTTATGAGCCAGGTATGGTGAAACGGGCCTACAATCCCAGCATTCAGGAGGCTGAGGCAGGAGGATCACAGTGCCAGGCCAGCTTAGACTACATACGCAGACCCTGTCTTGAAACACTTAAAAAAGAACATTCAGTGACTCCTGTGAGATCTCTTTTGCACCTCTGAGAAAATACACAGGGTGGGGGAGCATTTTCACTATTTTGCAGGTAGAATAAATAAGGACAAAAGGGTAGTTTTTCCAGGAAAGAAAGCAAAATTAAGAAAACAAGCAGGGCTTACCATCCATGCTGTCAAGAGAACAGTTGTGATCAGAAACTCCAAAGGAGGATCAGGTGCCCAGGAGATGAGTAATGTAATATCTGTTGTGTGAAATCAACATTAGAAAAGTCACCCTTAAAGGAAAAGGGAAATTATAGAGCATCAACAATATCGTAAAACATAACCTCTCTGAAGGCAGATAAAATAAAGATACGTTTTGAAAGTTGTTGAAAAATGGGGGGTGGGGGGGAAGGGTAAGGAAAGCAATGGAAGATGTTGAAATGACCAAAGTAAAGTATCCTCACAGCGGGAACACATCAAGAAACCCCTTTGAACATCAACTTAGAAATTAATAACTAAAGACAGGGCTATAAAATAGGCACAGTGTGTGTGTTGGGGGGGTACTTGTGGGAGGGGAAAGGATGAATGAAGGAGATTAAGGTGAAGGAATATGGTTGATGGACTTCATATACTTATATGAAACAGAACAGTGAAACCTCTTACAATTGCTTCAAGTGGGGACAGAGAGAGTCCAGGAGGGAGATACGGTGGGGCGATCTAACCAATGTACAGTGTAAGCCTATTTGGAATTATTACAATGAACACCCCTGTACAAGGAATATAACCTATTTTTTTTTAAGTCACTCTTGATTCTTCTCTCTCCCAATGCATGTCCAACAAATCAAGAATCCCAGAAATCCTACAGGGCTTAACCTTAGACAAAATCTAGAATCTGCCATTTCTCTCTGCCATCAGAAACACTATCTCCCTCCTCATCCTCTTTTACTTGGCTTTAAACTGTGCTTCAAAATAATATTTAGGGTTACTATCTCATTTCATCTGTTAGAATGCATCTGATGTCTACTTTATCCATAGCAGTCTAGTGTGTGAGTCTACTTAGTTTCAGCCTCAGTCAGGATTTCAACTCAGTACTAGTTAGCAAAAAACAGAGGAACAGTTAAGGTAGCCAATTAAGATAAAAATTCTATCATTCTGTGTTCTCTCCTTTTCTCACTTAACATAACTTTTTTTAAGGTGTAAGGCTAATTAGTTAAGTTACATGTGCTCTATAATGTATGTGAATTTGGCAAGTCTTGTGTCACGGTATTAATTATGGTGCTTTCTTTTTATAGATTCAGCAAGCATTTCCATGGACCCCATCATGTGTTCCACACTGTGTTATCCACTGGGGATTAGGCAGGATCGTAAACTTCTTGAGGATCAGGCAAACTGTCCTGGTTCATTTCTACAACTAGCCTCAGCCTTCCCTCCAAAAACAACCTGTGCCTTCTTGATGGCCCTCACATCCAGGGCAATCCAACGTGTACTATGGATTTTACCTCCAACATACTGCTCAAATCTTTCATTTCTCTCCAACTTCACCACCCAAACCCTGGTAAAAGCCACCATTATCTCTGGCCTCCACGACTGTGTTAGCTTCCTCTATTGGTCTCTTTACCCTCCCTGCAATCTATTCTCCACACAACATCTTTCCTTGGTAATCTTTTAGGAACATAAATCAGATCATGGTATTCCCTTAGTTGAAATTCTTTACTGCTTTTTCATTGCCCTTGGAACAAAATTACCAAGTCTGCAAGGCAGACTTGCCTATTTCCACTTCCTCATCTTTCGTGTGTCCACCTCACCCAACTCTACCCACCTCCCAAACTATGCTCCAGCCCGACTAGTCTGCTTTCAGCTTCCCGAGAACCGCGATGCTTTCAGGCCTGGGGCACTGTCTGGAAAGCTCCTCCTCGCCCTTCAGTCTCCATTTTTGTGAGCCTCTCCAGGCCACCCTATCTGTGTTGGTTCCCTTCCCTATCGTCTCCCTTGACCCTTGCCGGTACTTCACGGCACATCGCCCACTACCTATTATCCTCTTCAGATTGCAAGTCTCACGGCAGCAGACTGTCTTTGGAGCCTTGCACAAAGCATGCATTCAACAGCGACTAGCAAATCACGAATTCAAAAAAATGAATGAATGAATGAAGTCCAGATGGCAAGCATTTTAAAGCGTTACCGGAAAAAGAAACGAGCAGGTTCCTTAGGTAAACGATCCCGCAATTCTCCAGGCCCCGCGCCTACTTTAATTCTCCGTCCCAAGCGTCCGCCCGGCACCGCGCTGTCCCGGGGTCGCCCTGCGGCCGCCCGGCTCTAGATCTCATCCACCCGAGCCCCAGGGTTCCTCTGCTCTCCTTTCAGGCGTCTCCAGAACCTCCCGCAGAAGCGCCGGGGCCACCCGCACACCCAGAGCCCGAGCCTCTCACCTGATGCCGGTATCTCTTCCCAGTCTACAGCGGAACCCGCCAAAATTCCAACCGGACTCCGCCCCACCTCTGACGTCGGACGCATGCGACTGCGGCGCCGTCTTGATTGGCTACGCCGGAGCTCTCGGAGGAGACTGTCTCAGGGGAGGGAGCGAAACATCGCCCCGCTTAGAGCAATCTGATTGGCTTACGTCATCCGGCGCCCTCTTGGTTGAGGGCAAAGGAACTTCCGGTCGGTGAATTCTTAGGCTCCTTTAGGTAAAATAGATATCTGGCGCCCCCCCGCGCCAGAAAGTCTTACAGTATTTTGGTCAGCGGTGGGAATTCAGTTCCTGATTCCTTCCAGGATTGATTCTTATCTTGACCTTTTCAGCCCAGTTCTTTTTTTTTTTTTTTTAATTCCGCGAGTTGGAGGGTAAGGATGGACGTAGAGAAGCCCGGATGTTTCCCCACGCCGCTCGCGGCTGCTGCAAGGTCCCTGGGTGTAAGTGATCGTATAGAATCTGCACAAGCTGGTTGAGTATCTCACTTGGCTTTGCTGCCTGGTGTCCACTTGAGATGTTTGGACTCGAGAAAAACCAGACAAAAGAATTCTACTTTTAATTTCAGGAAATAACTTACCTCTTTAGATTTAGTTTCACCACCCGTTAAATGAGGGAAAGGATAGATGACATTCTTTACAGAAACCATGATATCCAGAGTAGTTTTTGGTCCACGGATTTTGGTGTTAGAGTTGAGAATAACTTCTCAGGAGCTATATTTTTCATTAGTAAAATTCATCCCTTTTATGCTTTTATATTCTGAAATGTGTATTTGTACACAATACTAAGAACAGGTTTCTAAATGTTAATAATATTTAGCTTCTATATAATTTAAAAAACTGTCCAAGCAGAATAGTTTTTGATGGACTGAATGATTTTTTTTTTTTTTCTGAGACAAGGCCTCACTATATAGCCCAGGCTGGCCTTGAATTTGTCATCTTCCTTTTTTTTTTTTTTTAATTATTTTATTTTATTTTTTTTTTCATTTTTCTTTTATTATTCATATGTGCATACAAGGCTTGGTTTATTTCTCCCCCCTGCCCCCACCCCCTCCCTTACCACCCACTCCACCCCCTCCCACTCCCCCCCTCAATACCCAGCAGAAACTATTTTGCCCTTATCTCTAATTTTGTTGTAGAAAGAGTATAAGCAATAATAGGAAGGAACAAGGGGTTTTGCTGGTTGAGATAAGGATAGCTATACAGGGCATTGATTCACATTGATTTCCTGTGCGTGGGTGTTACCTTCTAGGTTAATTCTTTTTAATCTAACCTTTTCTCTAGTTCCTGGTCCCCTTTTCCTATTGGCCTCAGTTGCTTTAAGGTATCTGCTTTAGTTTCTCTGCCTCCCAAGTGCTGGGATTACAGGAGTAAGCACCATGGAATGAGTCATTAGGCCCAGCTTCAATAGATCATTTAAAGTTTTTCTTCCTGGAAGATACTGCATTCCCCCTAATAAGAGGTATTTCAGAGCAGGGTACAGTTTATGCCTGTAATCCCAGCATTTAGGAGGTGGAAGCAAGAAGATTAGAAGGCTGGGCTAGCTACATAACAAGACCCCGTTGCAACAAATAAACAAACAAGCTAGCTTTAGGATGACTGGGAAATAGTCCTAATGCCATGAGCGTGATTTTTTTATGAGCTCAGTCCTATATATTGACACAAGAATAGGATCAATACCACTTTTGAAAACTGCTAATGCTTAAAAATTTGCAGTAATAGAGAGTACAATAATCATTGTTTAAATTGTATTGCTACATCTAGTTGTACAAGTTCATCATGGATTTTTAGCCATCAGGCAGAAATTCTTTGACCAATTCTGATCCATAAAGTTACTTTCTTCCCCTCAACTTGCCAAGTCCTCTTCCCACCCTCATTCCATGTGTGGGGTAGGAAACAGTACCAGTTTATGCCCCCACACCTTCTTAAAGTATCAAGCAATTCATATTGAAATTAACATAGTGCCGATTTTGAGAAAAGAATAGTAGTGATTTAAAAAAACGAAGTAGATTCAGAACCCGTTGAATGCAGGGATATTAAAAGAGAGGAGGAGGTAGAGGAGACAGTGAGGCTTAAATGGCTTGTAGACTTCAGGTTTATGTAATTGGGTATTTTCTGAGGCAATGCACTGAAATAGGAGACATAGCAAGAACAGAACACATTTAGGGGAGAGGGTAGATTCAGTTTTCAATTTTAGAATGAGATGTAGATTTGCTAGTCAGACATTTTGTCTCTGTGACAACATGACAACTTAAGGGAGGGAGGATTGATTTTGGCTCACAGTTTCAGATGTTTCAGTCCATGCTGGCTGGCTCTGTTGCTTCTAGGACTGTGGTGAGGCAGGGCATCATAGTGGAAGGGCATGACAGAGCATTGCTGCTCACCTCATGGCAGAGTGACAAGAAAGGGATGGCAACAAGGTATATCTTTCCAGGACATGCACCCTCCCCCAGGAACCTACTTCCCCTAACTAGGCCCACCTTCTACAGTTCCATCACCTCTCAAAAGTCTATTCAAAATTTGAATCTATCAATGGATTAATCCTTTGATAAAGATGGAGCCCTCATGATCCAATCAGTATGCAAAGCCCCACCTCTGAACAGGACCCAAGCTTTCAATACATGAGCCTTCTGGGGGTAACACTTCATATAAGAAAGGCTCTACTGAGCGTGGTAGTGCACAGTTGTAATCCCAGCACTCAGGAGGCTGAAACAGGAAGATCTGAAATTTGAGGCCAGTCTGGGCTACCTTATGAGTTCAAGGCTAGCTGGGTTACATAGAGGGACCCAGTCTCAAAGAAAACAAAACAAAAGAAAGAAAGTTCCAATAGCCAGCTTGATCTTCAGTCTGGGAATCTGGTTCTAAGGAGAGGCTGTACTCTCTCTAAAAGAGAAATGGAGGCCCACAAACAACATCTACCCAAAACGAAATTGAAAGCGGAGACTATATTGCAGTGGTTTATAAACCTTTTTGGGGAGTGTGTGATCACAGACCTCTTTGAGAAAACAGTAAAAATGATGGGCTTTTCCTTCCAGAAAAATGTGCATTCATCCTCAAGGTTTTGTATGCTTTCTCAGGGGTCCATATATTTTCCTGAAGCCCATCCATATGCACCCCTCAAATTTAGAACCTCTGGTGCAGAAGGCCAGTGCCCTGCAGGGCACAAACACTTGAAGGGTAAGCAACTGACATAAAGAAGAGGAACCAAAGAGAGAAGAGCAGCCAGAGTGGCAACCCAGCCTAGGCCTGCCTTTCACCTGGCCCTGCTCTCATCCCCCTCCAGCTGTGTCCTTTCCTAAAGGACAATGAACCCCAGGGCCAAGGGACTCTCTGGAGCCCCTTTTTGCCAAAACTCTAGGTCCTGGGACTCTGGGATTGTTTTTTACCCAAATCGCCCAAGCCTTGCTTCAAGGACCTGCATGGGCCTCTTCCTCTGGTTGTCCTTTCAAGAGCAGATTGCTTGATCCAAGGGGTGGCCAAGGGGCAGGTATTTGGTGGTGGATGGGGTAAGGTAAGGGGTGAAGGGAGATTGGGTAGCAAGCTATGATGTCCCCACACTTGAGACAGAGGCCAGGAAATGCAGCACAGAAATGAGCACTAGTAGGAAGAGAAGCAGGGTTGGCAGAGCAGGAGCCCACTTACGTTGCCATGCTTTGGTATAAAATTCCAGATGATTAGTTTTATTTATAAACTTTAAAATTGCACACATAGGGTATGTGGGCCTCAGTTTACATTCTTGCTCAAGGTTTTCCCAGCATAAGAGGTGGGCCTGCATGCTAATGATGGCACAGGATATCAAGGAAGAAGAATTTTAGGAAGGAAGAGGCAGATGTCAGAGCTGTAGAGCAGTGCTTTGCAAAGTCTGGGCCCTGGACTGCAGCATCAGCCTCAGCTCAGAACTTGCTACAAACCAAATGCTTGTATCTGATGCCAGATCAACTGATGGGAAACTCAAGGTGAGAACTCAACATTCTGTGATCATCTTTGGTAATATTTCATCTCTCGTAGTGATTCTAAATCTAGAGTGCATCAGAATCACTGGAGGGCTTGTTACAATGCATCACAAAACAATAAAGGGAAACATGGAGGAGAGAGAGAGAAAGAGAGAGAGAGAGAGAGAGAGAGAGACGTAATCTCCAGCCTCCTTCCCCCAAATGCCACTGGTCCACATTACTAAACACCTCTCCTTGTCACCCCCCCCCATTGGTCCTCATTCCCTATATCCAATTGCATGGGTTGTCTCATCTCTGGAGCCCATCCTCTCCTCTTCATCCTCTCCAGTGGGACTTCTTAGGTCACATCCTCTTCCTCTTTCCTACCTATAACTAACTCCTCCATTTCCAGGCTCACCCATCTCCAATCCATTTATTTGGTTGCTTCTATTTACAATAAAATCTTGTCATGACTTTCTCCTGATTAAATCCATTAGTAGTGCCCAGTTTGTACAGATTGCAAGCTTCATACCTTTAAGATCCTTATTTACATGGATGGAATTGGAGAACATCATTCTGAGTGAGGTTAGCCTGGCCCAAAAGACCAAAAACCGTATGTTCTCCCTCATATGTGGACATTAGATCAAGGGCAAACACAATGGGATTGGACTTTGAGCACATGATAAAAGCGAGAGCACACAAGGGAGGGGTGAGGATAGGTAAGACACCTAAAAAATTAGCTAGCATTTGTTGCCCTTAACGCAGAGAAACTAAAGCAGAAACCTTAAAAGCAACTGAGGCCAATAGGAAAAGGGGACCAGGAACTAGAGAAAAGGTTAGATCAAAAAGAATTAACATAGAAGGTAACACACACACGCACAGGAAATCAATGTGAGTCAATGCCCTGTATAAGCTATCCTTATCTCAACCAGCAAAAACCCTTGTTCCTTCCTATTATTGCTTATACTCTCTCTACAACAAAATTAGAAATAAGGGCAAAATAGTTTCTGCTGGGTATTGAGGGGTAGGGGGGAGAAGGAGGGGGCGG